ATGACATGCACATTTATAAAGATTTTGAATACGTTGGTAGTTGAAATGAAGATAAGAAACGAACATGTTATACCGCTATATCTCATCTGTAATAAATGGGCTGCAGATTACGAAGAGTTGTACGACACCATTATTCAATTGAAACCAGAAAACGTGATGATCGTAGGAGATCTAAATGCCCGCATAGGCAGCAGCCAAACGTTAACGGAATGTATATATACAGCTAGTGGATATGCAAATACTCCTTGAAGTGCGAATGACAAAACAATAGATCAAAACGACAAAAAACTCATTGAGCTATGTGAGTCTTTTAACTTAACAGTACTTAATGGTAGAACACGAAGCGACACAGAAGGCAGCTACACTTATTATAAAGCTCAGGCTGCATCAACCATCGATTTCTGCTGGATAACTGGCAAATGGGAACACTATGTAACTGATTTCCTAGTCCAAAATGAATCTTTCTCCAATCACATGCCTCTATGCATCAACATCAACATGCAAAATGTTCAATGTGTGGATGAATTACAACTCTTACCCAAGCTAAGATGGAGAGAACAACATGCGACAAGATACAGGGAGAAGCTGGGCAGGATCACTGATCAACATGTAAGCGCTGTCGATCAAATACAAACTGATGATCTGCTGCAATGTATCACGAAAGCAGATGTACTTTATGCAGACACCTACCAGCACAATACCTCGTCAACCCTGGTTTGATAGTGAATGTGGGGAAGCACGCAGAAAATCGCTGAAATTCCTAACGCTGATGAGGAAAACATCATCAGATGTTTTCAAAATAAATTATCATGCAGCAAATAAAGCTTTCAAAGAGATATATAAACGGAAACATCAGAAATACTTTAAGCATCTAGAGGTAGTTGTAAATGAAGTTACAGACAGTAAAGATTTTTGGGCTCTAGTCAGAAAACTAAATGGATCAAAGTCATACAAACCTATTAAGGTGGATATATTAGTATACTGACTAGCTATTACAAAGGTATACTATATGAAAAAGTGTCGGTAGTACAACATAATTTCGCGTTGCCCAACTCTGCTGTACAAGAACTGGATCTTGAAATAAGCACAATCGAAGTAATGGCCGCTATAAAGCGAAGTAAAGACAGAAAAGCACCAGGTGTAGACAGAGTACCGGCAGAATTTTTAAAAAATGCCACAACGAATTTCGTAAATTATTTGACAGCTGCCTACAATAATAACGTTCCTGATAGTTTCAATAAAAACATTATATTTCCCATATTTAAAAAAGGCGATGTAAGCGACCCATCTAATTACAGAGGTATCTCTTTTCTAAATGTAACCAACTGGGTGGAAACATATCACTTACTGAGCGAATATCAGGCAGGTTTTAGGAAATCATACTCTACCGTAGACAGTATTTCTGTGCTGACGTCAATTGCAAAGGAGCTCCTCCAAAGTAAACGCAAATTATATATATTTTTAGTAGATTTCAAGGCGGGTTTTGACACCATCGATAGGCGTAGGCTCTTTCTGAAATTAAGTGATATTGGCATCTCAACGAAAATGTTAGGTGTAATTCAAAGCTTATATATCAAAAACTAAACTGCGGTTTGGGATAGTAAATATCTATCAGTCTGGTTTGAGTCAAATCGTGATGTCAAACAAGGTTGTCTTCTAAGTCCACTACTTTTTGCGCTGTATGTAGATAACATATCGGGTATTTTGCCTGGTGGAGTTTGTTTAGGTTCACAATGTTTTAAAGTATTAATGTATGCGGACGATATTCTTGTGAAAGACATCAGAGGTAGAAAAGCAAGGACCGATAGTTGGAACTTAAATGGGGTAGAACTAGAGGTAGTAAATGAATTTAAATATTTGGGAGTACTAATGACGTCGAATATGAATTTAGCAAATCACAGTCGACAATTAATCTCTCTATCTATTTCATTTACTTTTTGTTAGGATCATTGTATTATAAAAACATATCTGTAATAGCGATAAATTAAAAAACTTTTAAGGCCCAGTTAGACGGTAGGTAACGTAAGAAATTAATTCAAAGCGAAATGCACAACCAACCAAACCTGCGTATTTGATTGGAACGATATAAACAAAAGTGGCGAACTTAGACACAAAATGGAAAAATCAAATTCAATTAGATTTTGAAGTTAAGCACATTTAAAAATTGTGCTCAGTTGCTTGCGAAACCTTGATGAGGGTGAGTGCGTTGCAATAATGTGCGGATTATGTTTATTACAACTAGAGTTGATAAAAAATTAAGAACTCTGGTTTGATTGAGGTTTAATATAAAACTCAAAATGATTATTTTCCTTATAATACAATTAAAATTATAGAAAATAATAATGTTTTGTTTGTTTTATTTTCAATTTAAACATATGAAAGATAATGTCATTAACAATTTGTCTTCAATTTTAAATAAAATAATTTCGTGATTATTTTGACATTTTATTATTTTAACATTTTGAAAATATTTTGTTTACAAGTTCAAATGTCTAAGACCACCTTAATTTAAAGCAAAATTTTCATTTCGTTTCTCCTTAATTTCCTACCTTACCTACCGTCTAACTGGGTCTTTACTTACTTAATATATTTATGTATAATAAATATAAAATAATAATATATAATATATTATAATATATATATTATATATATAATATAATATTTGTAATATATTAATGATATATAATATATTATATAATAATTATATAATATTTTTATAAGTATATAAATTTTAATTTCAACAAATAATCGCAAATGGTCAACTATAACATGAGTGACAGTGAATGTGTCAAACACGCAATAGTGGGAATTGGAATTAGCGGGAAACGTCTGGTTGGCATTCGTTGCGTTGAGCTGTTCACCATAATATTCTCTATTAAAAATTTTATATACGTTTATTTTTGTAGTATTACTATATCATCATTAAAAGTTATATTAAAATATATTTTTAAGCAATAGCTTTAAAGCTAATTAACTTTTCTTTGCCACTGCTGCGTTTAATGCGGCAATAGCTGCTGTTATGATTTCTTTTTGCACCAATATCTTGTACTTTCTGTTATTTTCGTATTCAAATGAAATTGTGCAATTAGATACGATAGCGATTAACAGCTGTTAATGTTTTCCCTGCGAAATCAATAGCATAAATCAACTTATAACCACGAATTAAAATGGATAAAACTTTTTTTGAACTACTTTTGTGCAATAATATCAAAAATCGTTAAAACTGTCTTTTGTTCTATCATTTAAATATCTTTCGAAAGACGTTTAACAATATGCGTTTTCGATGACTCGCTAAGCGAGACATTGGCATCACTGTTGCAATTTGTCAAGTGTTATGTTTTGGCAGATAAAAAATCTTGCGTATGTGCACATTATGCAAACATATTACATTTTTTATAAAAATAAATAATTAATTAAATTAAATTAAATTGAAAATAAAAATGAGTACAGAATTAAAAGGAATGGCAAAAATGTTGAAAATTTAAAACTTTGAAATTTTTCCTTTTTTTCCAATTTTCATATATATAAAATTTTTGAACTTTGTTTGAATTTTTGTTTATATATAATTTTTGACATATATATATATGTCAAATTCGTTGGAATTTTCAATGAAAGTTCATAATAGTTCGTTTAATGCGTTGGTAACACTTTTTTTTTTACTGGCTGTAGTGTGTGGCTAGTATACCTAGATAGAGAAAATTGTATTATCGTTAGTATAGGCCAGCAACTTGCTATTTTTTGCCATACTTTTGAGCCACCGAAAACGCCTGATCTTTGCTAAAATTGTCCTGTAAGTATGTAACAACAATTGTATGACATTTTCTTCCATTCTTATATCAATTAATTCGATTTATTGGAATAATATTAGGCCTTTTCGGTGGCTCGCAAGTACGGCAAAAAATGCATGTTGGCCTATGTTGGCCACGCGAGTCATTGGCATCACTGTTGCAATCTGTCAAATGTTTTGTTTTGACAAACAGCAGATCTTGTATATGTGCATATAAATCAAATATATATTTATAAAAATATTATAAAATTAAAATGAACACGGAATTAAAAGGAATGGTAAGAATATTGGAAATTTAAAAATAAAACACTAAGATAAGTAAATTTTTGTAGGTACTGTCGATGTTGGGAGAAGGAAGCAACGTTTTGCAGTGGCCGAGGGATGCAAGTTGTTTCACGGATTTTTTTAAATGTTATGAATGCCGCAACAACCTCCTCTGAAGATTCTCTTCCTTTCGTGTCAAGTAGCCTCTAGAAAACAATTCGTTTCCTTTGTGGTCCATAGTTTGCGTGTATTTCTATAAAAAATTTTTTAGAAAAACTTCAAAAATTATGTTTGTTTATTAATTTTACGTATGTAAACTACAAATTAAATGAAATAAAATAAATGTTACTTGGGAATAACTAACATAATAAAAAATTCAATGTGCTTAATACTTACGATTTCTCCATTCTTATTATTTCTTCATTACTTTTCAAGATTTTTCAAATTTTTGAATTCTGTTTGAATTTTTATTTCCTCAATTTTTGACATTTGATTGCACTATTCGTTGGAATTTTCAATGAAGGTTCACAATAGTTCGCTTATTGCGTTGGTAACATTTTTTTTTTTACTGGCCGATGTCGTTGGCCAGCATAACTATGCTGGCCGAGGTAGAGAAAATAGTGTTGTTGTTTTGCATACATTGCGGCCAGTATAGGCCTGCATAGGCCAACAACTTGCTGTTTTTTGCCGTACTTGCGAGCCACCGAATACGCCTATTAATTATTGCAATTAATGCTGCAGACTGATCAGACTATAATGCCATATGTTGATGTAGATACTGTTAATTGAAATGAGTAATGGAGTTTAAACAGACTACTGCTCTCAGTGAAAAAAACAGAATCCGTTCCTGTACAAGTGTTCTTTGACCAATATAATCCACCATATGCTTGTTTTTGTTTACGTAACAATCATAACTTATAACATACCTGTACAAAAGAGATAACAGCCCAGAGTTAAAAACAAGTGTTCTGCTTCATAAAACCGTGGCAACATATCAACATCAGTGTGTTGTGTTTTCTGTTGGAGTGCAAAGTTCATAATTGTTATTGAGTTCAATTTCGTAAAAATGATAAAAGCAGGCTTAAACAGGAATCTTTTAAAAAATTCGACAATAAAGGATTATTATAGAAATATTTTGAGGTAAGTTAATAAATGAAACAAGTGTAGAAGAAGATAGAAATTAATGTTAATGAAAATTAACATGGACTTCTTTACTAAAATAGTTGGAGGTCATATAAAATGATTTATATTTTTACTGGCAGGTATTAAGAAATTTTTTTATTTTGTAATATTGCAATTATTAATTAAAATTTGATGTAAATAAAATAGTTGCTCGGACGGACAGACGGAGTCAACTCTTTCGGATATGATAAATCATAATTAGGATTAACATGTAAACATTACTATATGTGAACTATTTATGTTAATTGAAGGAAATTAGAAGTCCACAAGCGATGACACATAATGGTTAATATGTAATAAATAATCTTGTACGCGTTTGCGAAGGACCACGTATATTGTATATATATATATATTGACTCGGAACTTATGTTCAATTAATTTATTTCACTGTAATCCTAGCGATAATGGCTCCGTTGTCTGCTTATAATAAATATGATATTAATAACAGTTTTGCAAGCTTTTACAGAGAAGCGAACACTGACTCCAAAATTGTATACATATTTTTCTTTAACTTTCACCATTGTTTAGTTTACGTTTTATATTCAACAATAGACGATTTGAAAGTTTGCACTAGTTACCACATTAAATTATATGAAAACATACATATAGAACAATTATATAACATAATTTATTACTGATTATTTTTAGATGCCAGGCTTCCACATTGCCGAAAGCGAAGCCAAGTGCAGAACCAAAAGTTGAAAATACTTCGTTTATGGCTAATATATTTAGAGGAAATTTAGTTTCTACGCAAGTATTTCCATATCCCGATGTCCTCACAATAGAGCAAAAAGAATTAACAGCAAGCTTGATTAATCCATTTGAAAAGTTTTTCTCTGTAAGTTTTTTTTAAGTTTTATAAATATTGAATTAAAATAAATTCATTGTATTTTGTAGTTGATTTTTTATTTTACATTAAAAAAAAATATCACTTTCATATATATACTATTCAAAATTCTTTCTGTTAGTATATAAGATCATTAAGTTTTAACTGCATATTTCAAATATTGAAAATTAACTTTAAGTATATAAAACATGCAAAATATATATACGGGGTAATACTGCTCTCTGCGCAGATTGCTTAAAGAAGCATTTTCTACTTTTAAATTCTTATTTGAACTGTTGTCAGTTAAATTATTTATTCGCTTAGATACAATATTAGCATAATGCATAATATAATAATACGAATAATATGTAATACTTTATTTCAGGATGTTAACAACGCTGCTGTTAATGATGCAAATTCTCAAATTGAGGAAAATACTCTTGAAAAATTATGGGAATTAGGTGCGTTTGGAATACAAGTTCCAAATGATTACGGTGGACTTGGCCTAAATAATACTCAATATGCACGTTTGTGTGAAATTGTTGGTGCTAATGACTTAGGTTTAGGAATTACTATCGGTGCACATCAAAGCATTGGGTTTAAGGGTATTTTACTATTTGGAACAGATGCGCAAAAGGAAAAATATTTACCAAAAGTATCAACTGAAAAAGTCTATGCTGCATTTGCATTAACAGAACCAAGTTCTGGATCTGATGCGAATTCTATAAGATGTCGTGCCGTGAAAAGTGCTGATGGAAAATATTTTATTTTAAATGGTTCAAAAATTTGGATTTCAAATGGAGGTATTGCGGATATAATGACCGTTTTTGCACAGACAGAACAAACTGATCCTAAAACTGGCAAAACGGTGGATAAGGCAAGTTAAAAAAAGTACAAAATTATTTGACAATTAGTTTTCAGTTTTTTGCATTTCAAGTTAGAGATTCTAAGAAAATTTTTAGAAAAAATTTTTGAAAACAACTACAAGTTTTTACTATTATTAAAAAATTAATAGTTTTATATGAATATTAAACGATTATTTTAAAATTTAATAAAAAGATATATCACAAATACGTTGTCCGACGCTAGGTCATTCCTTATACTTTTTTAAATATTTATATTTAAATGACATGATTAGATTAACCTTGTGATCATCATGCCCTTCATTTAAATGATAAATAACTACATAAAGATATCTGTTTTTTATATAACATATTCGAATAATTTCAGCCTTCTAATGAATGTATTATCCACATTTTTCATTTTCTTATAGGTCACCGCTTTTATAGTCGAAAGGTCTTTTGGTGGCGTAACTAATGGACCTCCAGAGAAAAAAATGGGCATAAAAGCTTCAAACACAGCTGAAGTTTATTTCGAAGATGTAAAAATTCCAATAGAAAATGTGTTAGGAAAGGAAGGAGAAGGTTTTAAAGTGGCAATGAATATATTAAATAATGGAAGATTTGGAATGGGAGCAACATTATCTGGTACTATGAAAATTTGCATTCAGAAAGCGACGGAACATGCTAATAATAGAGTTCAATTTGGTAATAAAATAAAAAATTATGAAGCTATTAAAGAAAAGTTAGCCCAAATGAGTATGGTACAATACGCTACTGAATCGATGGCTTATGCAATATCACAAAATATGGATGACGGAAGTGAAAATTATCATTTAGAAGCTGCTATATCAAAAGTATTTGCATCTGAATCAGCTTGGTTTGTTTGTGATGAAGCTATACAAATTTTAGGCGGAATGGGTTTTATGAAAGACACAGGTTTAGAACGTGTTATGCGTGACTTAAGAATTTTCCGAATTTTTGAAGGAACTAATGATATACTTCGTCTTTTTGTTGCTTTGACTGGTATTCAATATTCTGGATCTCATCTTAAAGAATTACAAAAGGCTTTAAAAAATCCAACTAATAATTTGGGTCTTCTTTTTAAAGAAGTGACGCGACGTGCATCAGCTTCTGTTGGCTTAAGATCAACTGATTTAAGCCCATATGTTATTAATGAACTACAACCTTATGCCAAAAAAACAGCCTTGTGTATTGATTTATTTGGCGAGGCCGTTGAATCACTTCTAATTAAGCACGGTAAGGATATTATTCACCAACAATATGTGTTGAAGAGATTGGCTGATGCTGCAATAGATATCTATGCAATGGTTGTAACGCTGTCTCGTTCTAGTAGGGCTGTATTATTAGGATATGATTCAGCACAACATGAAGTTATGTTAACAAAAGCATGGTGTATGCAGGTAATTTATTTTTTTACATCTAAAGTAGATTACTAAAAATATAACAAATCTAAATGTAGATTAGATCTGCCGTAAAAGTTTTGTGCAATAGTTTTTGCAAAATGTAAAACATTAGAAAAAAACGGAAATACTATATAAAATTATTTTTTCTAGTCAATTTAATTTTTATTTTCCATTTCAGGCTTCTGAACGTTGTGAAAATAATCTCAAAAAAACATCTTCGAGTACGCAAATGGAACTAAATTCAAAAATGACAATAATTGCGAACGAAATTTTCGAAAATAATGGAGTAAAAGCAACTCATGTTCTTGATAAATTTTAATAGTTGAATTTAAACGTTAATATGATAAGTGTATATTAAAAATAGATAGATAATAGTTTTTAATAGTCAATTGTTTATTTTTTTATAATACATATGTATGATATATATTCATTTCTTACTAACCATGTATACAATAACAAAAGTTTTTTAAATAAAATAAGTTCTTATGAATCAAATGTACCTTCAAACCATAGTTCCCATTGTTGTTATTAAAAGTTTTTTGTTCTAAGCAAAATTTTAGCGCACAAATATAAATATATAATATTATATGCATTTTTGACCTATGTTATCGAAACTATAAAAGGACTCAGCAAGAGCTGTCTTGGCGGAATTGAACTCAGGTATACTTTAGGCTAAACAGATACGCATAATTATATTAATTTTCAACATATACTCCAACTGCCGTTCTTGTCCTCTTGATATTGATCTATATCAATTGATGCTCTATTGATCTTTTGCTTAGTCTCATTAAAGTAGTTCGGTTTCTTCGTCTCAGCCAGGCTAGATTTATTTAAATTTCACTAAATTGGTATTCCAAATATTCGGAATAAAATATTAAACAATATAACTCGTATTAATATGCAGTACACTAACAATTTTAAAATTAATATTATATGTATTATCAATGCGAGGTAAAGTTTTAATCAAACTTATTTAATAACCACCTATAATAGTGTTAATGTTTTAAGCTTTTTACTGCAACATTGGACCAATTTCCGTCAATTTTGATGGAAATGCTATTGAGCAACTCGAATTTTTACCTCCTGCAGTTAGATTTACAGCCTACCCAATGGAATTAGCTACTCATGGTTGTTTTAAGACAGAAGAGATTGAACATCATGTAGGAAAACACCACTCTTGAGAAATGCTTCAAACATACCTTCATTATTTCCTTTTAAAAGAAAGGACAGAAATACGGACAAGGATGTTCATTGTGAAAAAGTTGATAAGTTAATTGGCAGCAAATATAAGATAAAAAAATAAACAAATTAATAAAAACAAATAAAAACTTTCTTATCAATGGTTTGAAATCACACTTTTTGAATTTTAACACGTTTTTGTTAGAGACCCTGATAGCTAGAAGAAATATGAATTGAAGACATCAGCAATCCAAAAAAAAAAAAAGATAAAGTATAATACTTCTGTGGTATATGCGAATAATTTAATAAAATTTTATTCTGATAAAATTCCTTTTTTACAATTTGTTATACGTATATGCAATATAGTTTAAAATTTTTACTAATAACTTAAAATGGACACATAAATAGACAAAATCAAATGACATATAAGTAAATTAATTAATTTTTTACGCTAACAAAATTTTATTTCAGAAAAAGTTTTTCTCTAATAATTTCAGAAGTATATTTATTTACTTACATATCTTTAAAGAATTTAAAACCAATAAATAATATAATACAAAATTAACTCATAACGAATTAAAATAAAGAACTTTTTCAAATTGCATTAAACAATTAAATTTATATTGTGACGTCACGATTAAATTCTTAAACAGAAAATAAGAAGACGTAATGACATTGACCTCAAGATCAAGTTAAGAAACCTTACCCTATACATTGAATTAAGACAATTAACTGATATAAAAAAGATTCAGATTTTAAAAGTTTTTACCAACCTGACCTTAGCGATATTTAATTGATCTCAGGTCAAAGTTTGACAAATTAAGACTAACTTTCCCACACCTTCCATCCTACCCCATCTATGCGTCTGCAACAACAGAATTAGTATATTAAAATTAAAGTAAATTTAAAATTATTAATTAATTTAATAGAGAATTTTAGAGTTTTTCTACTGAATACTGAAATTTCTAATGCACTGCGGGACTCCAATGTTTGATTTTAATATTTTCACTGAGTATTTTGAAGAATTCTAACATCAGAAGTACTAACGTAACCCATCAACAAGATAATATAGATAACATTGGTTTTATAATGTTGGTATATAAAAATATTTATATAACAACTTGCTGATAATGAGCAAGGACTTGCTGATAATGAGCAAGGACTTGCTGATAATGAGCAAGGACTTGCTGATAATGAGCAAGGACTTGCTGATAATGAGCAAGGACTTGCTGATAATGAGCAAGGACTTGCTGACAATGAGCAAGGACTTGCTGACAATGAGCAAGGACTTGCTGACAATGAGCAAGGACTTGCTGACAATGAGCAAGGACTTGCTGATAATAAGAGAGTGCAACTTTAAGGATTAAAGCTTGTAGTTTTTTGACATTAATATGTGCTTGCCTGCCTATGTTAATGTCTAGGTATTTTATATTATCTGTTTGTGAGATGGAAACGTTATTTAACTAATTTTTTTTCAACTATTCATATAACACTTAAGGTATTAACTATTGAAACAACAGCTACATACACATATATTAACTTAATAATTGTAATTGATTGTTTTTATAAAATTTTATCACTACGAAGAAATATTTTCTACAAACAAAAAGTAAATTTAATAGTGGTCATTACGAATTGTTATTGTAACGAGTTCTAGAAATTATGATTCTTGTCCATCTATGTCCTACTTAATTGAATTTATATTAATTAAGAATAAAATTCTATCACTTATTGCAGATAGTTTATTATATACATTTGTTGTATATATTTAACATACAATAAATATGGAATACAAACATTTTAAACATTTGTTGTTATTGAATCTCTCAACACAAATAAGTATGTATGTATATTACAAAGCGCGAAATAAAAATACCTAACTCAATCAAACACAAAGATTTCGTTAAGAAATCGAAATAAGACGAAAGCTTTGGTTTTGCTTAAAAATTTTTGAAGGAAACCTATTTTTAATTTCTTTTTTGGGCTACTGCAACTACTTGATGTTGTAAGCACTTAATTTTAATTGAATATTGAAATAATAATTACCAAATAAATCAATCTTTGCATTGAAATTAAATCAAAAACCAGATTTATAGTACCAATTAATTTTTTTATATTTTGCACCGAATTAGTTTTGAAACGTTAAAACTAAACATGCACTTCTCTTAGATTTTATTTAATGCTTTTATTGTTCTTATATTTTTATATACATTAAAAGTTGCTAGAAGCTGAACTATGTGGTATTTGTTACACTGAAAAAATAAATTTTTTCACTCTACCGAGCATTATTTATTGGTAAATTTGTATTGTGTGCTTCGTAGTCCATTACTTCTTTATATATAAGTTCTTTCCATTGTTCTACTGAGTGTTCTCTTTCGTCTACGCTATGATCGTATGGCTCAGGTGCAGGCTAAAAAAAAAATTTATTATTTAAATATTAAATAATTTAACATGTTTTTGGTTTAATAAATTTTAACTAAAATACTATTTGTTCCTCTTATTAAAATGTTATTAAAATGTGTAGTAAGTAAAATAAATCAAATTTTACTCATTTCACTTTTTAAAAGTAATATTTTAATTATTGACTTTTTGTGAATAACTAAAAAACTATTTGTTTTTAATTTTTTGTATATTGTATATAGTTATTTTATATTTAACAAATAAAATACAAATTTTATATGCAAAAAGAAAGAAACAATAATTGTCTTACTAAATATCTGAAAAATTGTTTAAAATATAAAAATAAAAACAAAATACATTAACATTATTTGAAGATATAATTCTAGACCTACCGCATTAACTTCTTCAGCATCATACCAAACGTTAATATAGCTATGAAGAAGTGCTTCTTCTACTGAGATACGTTGCTCTGGATCTATAACAAGCATACGGCTTAAAAGATCTCTTGCTTCAGAAGCTTTTCGTCTGCTTTGTTCATTATTATCGCTAGGAAATAAAACATCCGGAAATAGCCTATCAAACGAATAACCAGAATATCGTGGTCTGTTCTCAACATAATTACGTACTGTTGGCTGCAGGCGTTGCATAAACGATGTGGATGGTGTACCCAATTGTTCTATAAAAAAAAAATTTATACTTTATATCACAAGAGCCGAATTTACAAAAAAAAAACTGATTTACCTATAATCTTATTCCACTGATCAATATGATCGGTGCCAGGAAATAGAACGCCACCACGTATCATTTCACCCATAATACATCCTACTGACCAAATATCAACATTTTCGGTATACCCCATTCCTAAAATAACTTCAGGAGCACGATAGTATCGCGTTACTACATATGGCGTCATCATAAAAGTTGTTCCAGCAGTACGTGCCAGACCAAAGTCTAGTATTTTGAGAGTACAATCTGCTTTAACGACAATATTCGATGGCTTCAAATCCTAGTAAAAATAAAACAGAGTATTATATTTTAAAAATTGAATAAAATAAGTGCTGTTTGCTTTAACTTCTATTTCAAACTCAATACATCCACTCAGGTAGCGTTTAGGGGAAAAACAACAAATATTGATGATAATGATATTATGATATCATTTAAATTTTTTTATAATACTTACCGATATCAATCACGACTTAACCTTTAATATATTAAAGGTGTGTTAATTATAAAAAAAATTATAATAAAAATTATAAAAAATATTTGGAGACTCTATGCTCCACTAAGTAAATAAGTAATTACAAAAAAAAAAAATAAAACATCCGTCAAAAAAACTTATTAAAAGAATAAAAATATGCCAGAGGTAGGCTTGGACTATGAATGTCCAAAGAAAGCATATAATTTGTTCACAATTTTTAAAAACTTTTTATAAAAGAGTTTTCTCTTTAGATAATGGTAGTATCCAAATAATATATTGAAATAAAAATTTGATCGAAATGTTAATCACAAGTGCTAAAAAAAAGTGGATAACCCTATATAAAGACTTCGTCTGACTCAGACTTTGTCTTCCACATGCTATGTCCGAGATATAATTACTCTTTTTTAGGTATGTTTGTAACCAATTTTGAAGTCTAACTAAGTCTGTGTAAAATCTAAATTTTTTAATTTTGAGTTAGACATGAATGTAAGTTTGAGACCAACTTTTCTGACTATTCCTGAGTTTTCATCTCTTTTTATAAAATTTATATTGTATATTAATAAACTATTTTAACAAGTAACAAATGTATTACTTGTAATTGTAATTGTAATTGTAATTGTAATTATAACATACTATAATAAACTTATTCTTTAACTTTAAAATTATAATAGGTAATAAGTATTTAATTTCTCAATAAATATACAATAAAATTAAAAAAAGGGCACTATATTAATTTATACATAACTTGTTATTTCATTTTATTTTTTAAAGTAGAAAATTTCTAAGCATACGAAAACTTCCGGTATTGACAAAAATACTGAATAATGAAGGGCACGGGTATACTGAGAACAAATCTGATTGTGTAGATAAAAATCTTAACAAGATCGAAGACAAAGTCTGACCGTATGTCATCAGTTTCGTGCACAAAAAATCCAAAATTTTTTGTCTAAAAATTATGATCGTTTGGACATCTACATATATGATGCAGTTATTCCAGTTACACAGAATAACTGAATTACATAAAATTCATTGGAAATTTTATGTGATATATTTACTTAAGTCTTTTTTATAACTTTAATGTTTAGTTATATAAAGTAGTACAATTATAAAGTATTAGTTATTAATAACATGACTGCATTACAAGTTAAAAATTAAGGGCAACTTTAAATTCTTTTTTATCTAGTTATGCTCAAATATGAAAATATAGTGTGATTACATTTACAAATATACAAATTCAATGGTTAAATTAAATGAGAGATGTGAGATGATATGAAATATATTTCAATCATCTAGTTTAAAAACTGAATTAGTCACTTCTTTTTTGTGATCTATACCATGTATACGTACATATATATTCATATATATAGGTATATTAAATATTTATGAGTTATGAAGACTAATCTAATTCAATTCGGTTAGTTAATATTGATTAATTTGATATAATATGTACGCCCAATAACAAAATTATTCAATGTCTATACAAAAGGTTCTTTCAGCAGCTCGCAAGTGTGGCAAAAAACAGCAAGTTGCTGACCTGTAGTCGCTAAGCAAGATAATGGCATCACTGTTGCAATGTGTCAAATATTAGGTCTGTTCCATGAGCTACTCATAGTAACTTCGAGTAACCCTGTGTATACACAAGTGCGTTCCACTAGCATATTTCCGAGTAAAAGAGAGCCTCTGAGAGAGTGTAAAATCTCTGTTGAAATTTGAAAATACTAAACAAACTTTTGTTGTACATTTTATTTGAAGTAAAATTTATGTGATGTGTGAATCAGCTGTTTGGATTTGAATTTAAATTTTTGTATTGTTTATTTGCGCGGCACAGGTGTTCTAAACAGATTTTACACAAAGCTGCGGCTCGTTTATGTTACTTTCTCACTTCGTTTTCTCGAACGATTTTTTGACAAATACTTCGAGTAACTAATTGTCAAAAGTGAGAAAATCGGCCGAGAAAACGAAGTGAGAAAGTCACATAAACGAGTCGCTGTTCCATGAAAATCTGTGTAAAGAGCATAATTTGGTACTTTATTTATATTACGCACTTAATTGGTACTTTGCTTGTGTTTTACTTGACTTTTACTACGAATAGCTCGTGGAACAGACCTATTATATTTTGGCAAATAGCAAATCTTGCATATTTCCACAATTATCAAATTTGTGAAACTTTTTAATTTTGTTTGCATTTTTATTTATAAATTTTTGAGATTTGATTCGAATATTCGTTGAAATTTCCAATGAACGTCCACAAAAATTCGCTTATTGCGTTAGTAACATTTCTTTTCTTTAGTGGCTAAAATGTTTGCAACTATAGACTAGCAACTTGCTGTTTTTTGTGAAACTTACGAGCTTCTGAAAGCACCTAGAAATAAACAGTATTAGATCTTTTATATTAACTAAATTATAAAACATAGATTGTGCACAAATATTAACGATGGTTCATATAAATTACTAGGAGATAATATTTGAATATAATACAGGTACATATATTGCAATACAAACCGGTTGCTAGAATTATATTCTTTTAATAAAACTTTAATAGCCGTTTTTGTAAATGCAACGTAAAAATATAGTTTTTATTTCTAGACAATACCCACCCTGTGAATTATTCCAGCAGAATGTAAATGTTTAATTCCACAAAGCATTTGATAAAGCAAGTATGACATTCTGTCATGATCTAAATCCATTTGGATTACTTGACATAAATTTGCGTCCATTAATTCCATCACAAGATAAACATCTTGAAACTCTTCCAAATTACGCTGAGGTGTAAATGCATTAAGTAATCCAATTATCTAAAAACATATTCATTTAGTATATATAATTCAGTTTAAATTTTTAATTATTTACATTTTTATGATTTACTAATTTCATAAGCTTAAACTCTCTGTAAGCTCTTTTTGCATGTGTTACATTTTGGAATGGTCGCGATAACTTCTTAATTGCTACATTTTGTTCTGTGACGGTATCGTAAGCGGCACTAAAATAATTGAAAAGAATTTTAAAAAATTATATTACAAGAGTTACACAGAAGTCATGGCAAATAAGTTTAACTAATCCACTTCTTAGATATATATGATATTAGTTCGATGAACAATCGCGTTTACAGTGCCTAGTATTGTTTCAACATTCTGCTTAATCCTAACATTAATGGAATCCTATTTAAGGTAAAAATTTGTTGAGAACTGATGTTGTTCATTTATTCTGCATTGACAACAATTCGGTTTCAAGTGACCATACACACATACATACATTTCGGCTTTTCTTAAATTTTTTTATTAACGACTACTGCAATTTAATTTGTTTTATATTCAATAATTGTTTTAGTTAATGATTCGCTGACAACGATATTAAGTGCTTACGTCAACTTATGTCATATCGTGTTCAAAATTTAAACAGTTACCATTGAAAAAATCTTGATTTGTCTTGATATCTTGAATCCTGAATTTCTCTAGAATAAAATTACACACAATTTACATATATATTAATATTACTTATATTATATTAGGGATACTCATCTTAACAGATAAATGCCTTATAACCCTTAAAAACATATAAATTTATCTGCATGATAAATGAAGTGTCAAATTTTGTACGAAAAATAATTGCACACACTTAATAAATTTACATATAAACTTTACGGAATAAAATTATATCATATAAATTTATTTGTTGTCACTACAGAGTCACATTCCAACTCAAGCAAATCATTTACAAAAATATCTTTGCAAATAGTTTTTAGTTTTGACTTTAGCTCAATTTAGCTATTTTATTTTATAATTTATTAATAGCGACACAGTTGATCAACGAAGTTTGCACAAATATTTAAAACTGCAATGATATTGGCTAAAATATAATGCTGTTGAACATTGCATTTTGTACTGTCCTAATTATTGCTAATATAAATAGTGCTATTATACAGCAGATTGACAAATTTACACAAATATTTTACTAAGTGCGTTCATATAAGCATGTACGTAGTAAACGCATAAAATTATACTTTTGATAAATTTATATGCTTGGATAAGTATCCCTATTATAATAATATATATTTACACATATACATAAATATACAATATATTCAAAAATGAGAATATATCATTGCAAGACTTGACTTTTACTAATCTCTTCACATGCCAAAAGTCTATAACTACATAGTTAACGGATCGTATTTCGATTGTAGGTTTAGCTGTTTCGAACAGTCACTCTACATTTATTTTAACACGAAAATGTAACAATACTTAAAACTTGATTTAATAATTAATAGCTTAAGACTGCCTTATCGTAAAGCAAACCCAACTTTTTTAAAAGGTAAAATGCATGTAGTGAAAGAACTGTAAGACTTGCTCTTGAGAACTGTAAGATTCTTGAGCCGTGACCGTTTTACTTTACATTTTTACAAGTTTTTAAGTTAGTTTTAAGCTTCTTTTGTATATAAAATCAAGAATATTAAAAAATTTCGAAAAAATTGTTTTTTAAAAAACGTCCAAAATACATGAAAAATAGTTTCCTACTTTGAAGGGCATTGCGGCTACGCGTTAAAATTAGTTTGTTTTCAAAATATTTTCCACATTTTTTTTTTTTATATTGATGCACTAGAAAATGATATAGCCAATAGGATCAGAGAAAAATTTTTCCCTATACAACTAAGAGTTACTGTAATGTAATTCATCGTATAAAGGCAGTTGCTGCACAATTATATATCAAATCAAATAAAAAAATATCTGGTTAAAAAATAATAATATATTAAGAAAAAGCATCACTTGTATAACGTACTGGATTCGCTATTTTTCTGGATATCATCTTAATATAAAATAAATTGTTCACTCTATGTTTACACAGATTAGTAAGATTTTTTTAAAAATCGAAAAGTAAGAAAACAGACGTAGCTAACAGCTTTCAAGCTAGATGACAAAGACACAATATATGTGAACGCATATCACTTAACTCTAAATACACTAAAAATGTGTCAAGTTATGGGTATTTAGGATATTTTTAAAAAAGTTCTGATCAGCATCTTTTGTTTTCTATCAAAATTAATAAAATGCTTAAGCAAAGTGTAAATAAATACTAATAATTTTCACTAATTCACGTATAATAAATTTACACATAAGGAATATATGTATGTATGTGTAGTTTATCATTTAATGGTGAAAAAGTAAAAGTATTTTTTTTTCTATATAAGCTATAAAGTCGTTATATTATATCCAGAGAAGATTTAAACTGTTACCATGTTTTATAGTGTATTTTCTCCATTGGAACGTATTTAAAATGAAAGCAATATTATATAAACGAATATGTGCGACAGAAGGCAACTTAAAATATTATTTTACTTACCACACTATTCCTTGAGCACCTGAACCAATAGGCTTCAAATTTTGATACCGATTCAAAATAGTAAATTTTGTATCTCCCACCTCGACGGTGTATAGAGGATAACGGGAACTCATTGTAGTTATATTATCGTTATAATTATATAAAATATATCATGTTGCCCTGAAATTAAAAATATTATAGATATTATTCTTTAGAAAATAAATTGAAATCATATATACATACAACACTTAAATAATAATATAAAGTATTTAATCAAAACAAATATATTTACTTATTTTTAAAATAAGAAGACTTGATTTTATATAAAAAGATAAATTATCACATGTTATTGTTATAACGATGTGTGTCTTGACGTCGTGACGATAGATCCAGTCCGTCTCACAGGAGACAGGACGCTTGTGAGCTGAAAAGTAGGCTCATTAAAAATGTTTAAAACTCACTGACTATAACGCATTTGTGGGTCAATACACCCCAAGGTCGAACCGGAGAGCCAATTTGTCGTTTTAATAAAATGGGTAATGTAAATGAGCAATAGCTTCATTTTTTTCCTAACAAATATAGGATTGTGTAGAAATGAATACACGACATTAAAATTGACCTATCCTATGGAGCGAAAGTGCAAAAGTCATTATATACTTATATCTCGAAAACCGCTAAGTAAATTTATTATTTTTTAAAAATAAATGTTTGAGAAATCCCTAAAAGAGGTGAATTTAATGAAAAAATAGATAATTGCATTATGTTTGCATTTTGTTTACTGTGTTCCAAGTAAACAGAACTTTTGTGAGGTAACAAAAAAAAAAATAAACAATTAAGAAAAGTTTACGTACTTTTACATACGTACCAGTTTTGCAAAAAACTGCAAAGAAATAAATTCAAAAGTTTCATAATTCAACAAAAGTATAATTACTAACTAAAAAGTCTACTAATAGGTCTATCACAAAGTCACATAAAACAAAATTAACGAGAAGAGCTATTTTCTTCAATGTTAAAGTTTTAAATCAACTTGCTTAACATTAATATTAAAGACGAAACTGCATCTGCATACTAATCGACTGCTAAAACATTCTCACTAAATTTGGATAAAATAATCGAAGAAGGAGATCACACTCGTGATTAAGGCCTGATTAGAGACGAAATTGGTCTATTTTGGAAAAAAAAAGCGCAACAGAACTTCGCACCAGAAAATCGCACCAACTGCTTGCGGTTTAAAGACAGCTAAAGATCATGTAAATTTGACTGTAATGTGTCGGGAAAACGAATGTTAAAACCATTGCTTATTAATCGTCTTTAAAGACTACGATCAATTAAAATCGTGAACTTCAGTAAATTCACTTCATTGGATTGCAATCAAAAATGCCAGTGTATGCACTGGAATTCTGTATTTATTGAATTGTTTGGAAAGTGTTTCAATTTGGATATTTTAAACTTAATTAAAAACATTCTTAATCTAAAGTTGTTTTGATCTTAAATAGTCATCATTATTTTAACCCATCAAAACTTGCAATTTTGTTACTTGCCTCCTAATATCCTTATTTTTAGCACTAGACTAAGTATTACGTAAAGTTGATCTTTCAACGCATTTTGCACAAACTGAATAATGAAAAGCTAACAGTCGTTAATGCGTGAAAAAAAAATTTTAAATTATGGATTTTATTAATCATATTAAATTAGCTACGATTGAATAAAAATGATCAACTTTTATTGCATTTCCAGCATGCATTTATTATGGTGTTCATCATTCAGAATCTTTTAAGTGGCTTTAGCCGTAATTTTTTTTGTTTCAGAGTAGGAAAAAAACAACACTAACTCTGGTTGAAGGAAATTGACAGCACTTTTAAAATATGTTGAATGCTTTTGTTTGACATATGTTATTTGTTGTGTTGTATACAGTATGACATGATACGAAAGACTTGAATTTTGCATTATATTTTCAATGAACATTCACAATAGACTTTAGCCTTAAATTATATTGTAAGTAAAATCTAACTCTAAGAAGTTTAAGAGCATTATTGTTGCTTCATATGTTTTCTTTCGTAAGTTGCGAGTATTTTTATGCAAGTCTGAAAGAAAAACATGAATTTGTTGTATGTAATAGATTAAATAAAGACGAAATAATAGAGATTGCTCTTACGACAAACTATTCTAAAGAGAGTTCTGATAACGATGAAAAAAAATAATGCTAGAGAAAACAAACAGACTAAAATAAATTTAAATGATTATTTAAATTATTTTTAACAATTGTTTAGTTTTGATAACAATCATCAAGATTTAAATTAATATAATATATTTTTTTAACACAAATTTTTTGGGAAAATGTTTCTCGTGTAAATAATAATTTTGTGTATTCATAAATTCAAAATAAATTAATTCTAATGAAAACAAACAGAATAAAAAAATAAATTTAAATGAATATAAATTATTTTTAACCACTTTTTAGATTTAGTACCAGTCAAGAATTCAATTAATACAATACATTCTTTTACATATATTTTTTTTAACACAAATCTTTTATGAAAGTATATGTCATGTAAAAGCAGAATTAGGTGTATTTTTGAGAATTTTGAGAGCATTCCCATTATGGAACAAATGCGGCATTCAAAGTCCCAATCATATAGGCCACAACCAACAAATGCGATAAACCATAAAAAGACAGCTACAATGTACCAAACTTTAACTTTGTAATCATAACTTTCACTCAGATGACTAGCAATATACAATCACTTGCGAAAAATTATAAATACAAAAAACATAGATATATTCTCGTAGTCTACATTGGGCCATCACATCGTGAGTAATCTTTTCTCTTTACCGCTATGGACGTTGGTTCTTACGTTACTAATGATTTTTTGATTAACATAGAATTAACATAGAATATTTAAAGTCGAAAAAATTGATAAAAAACTGTTTAGAATGTTAGAACTTTATAAAACCACTAAGTTAAAAAAAACAATATATTGTATACTTACTTAGGGACTTTTAAACGTTTTAAAAGGAGGTATATTGTATGTAACAGATCTGCATATAACAACTATTTTGAGAATATTATGCAAAGTTAGATCTAGGAAGAGAAAGACTTAATAATAACTTTAATAACGTAACAGTTATATTGAAACGTAACACAATTGAAATCGAAAATAAATACATTATACACATACACCTCAGCAAAAAGAACAGAATACATTAATCACAACCCATCGTGTTTGCACGATATCATTAAAGCAATAAAAAATTTACATTAAAACAGCAAATTACACAATAGTTTCTAAAAGTAGAAAACTTTACTATCTGACTGATTATAAGGTATCTAAATTATAATACCAGCAATATTATCGCGGTATTACTCTTCATTCAATCCAGTGTTTTCTAACATATTTTTAATCAGTTTACGAAATGGTTTCAAAGCCAACAGATATTGCACTAATCACATTAACACCTCAGTCATTGCCGTCGAGCAGATTTGAGGATGATAGACTACATTATATCTAGTTTTCATCGATGATACCATTGCCTACAACAAATTGATTAATAAAATTTAGAGAACCCGTAGAAATATAAATATGTTTATTGAAAATTGATTATTCAAACACTGGCAAAGAAGCACACAATTGAACTTCACCAAACACCTTGAAATTTTTGAATACACTGTCGATGTATGCCGCTTTACGTCAATGGAATACTAAACCATGAAGAATAAAATCGACGACATAAATGCAGAGTACAATAAGGCTTCAAAGAAAAATTATGAAAATAAATGCGTTAAATTCAAGCAATTTTAATGGACATAAAAATTAGATCAATACATCAGTTTCTCTATCTAAAATAATTTATTATAATACAAACATTATATAATATCTAGCTAAATATCAAATAATAATAATAATAGTAATATTTTAATTAAGTCTGTGCGTTGCTGTAAATGTATAAAATCCAAATAGTTACCGTTACTTATTGGATAATAAGTGAAAATTATAATCCTCATATTGTTTAGTGAATTGAATGTTTCAAACCTTAACTGATGTCAGTTATTAATTATTAAGTGAAAATTATAATTCTCATTTCATTTAGTGAGTTAAAGTTATATAAACTTCAAACCATTATAGTAGTTTGTGAGTTGGAAAATGTTAATATAAAGTTGTACGTTCTCAGTCAGTTAAAAGATACTAGAATTTATTCTACAATTTATTTGTCTGTATACTGTAATATGCCTTTTAATACCTTGTAATAGATTCACAAGCTATATATATTGGTTTAGCGCATAAGACGATAGCATCATTTAAAATAATGTGGTATTGTTGTTTTAAAGTATAGCAAGCTTTCGCCTAAACTTAAGTACTCTTCACAGATAGTTATTGAGAATTCACTAATAAAAATTGCAGAGATTTAATGTGAAATTGCATGATAGCTATATCCAATCTAAAGTGCTCCAAATATAAATAACATAATGTTCAGTTTATATAGTAATTATTGATATGGTCTTTGATTTTGATCACTTCGAGAGAGTGACAAGGTTTGGTCAAAAAACTTAACCACGTATTCAGTAAAGTTGTAAAACAATACACGTTGGAATGTGCATCTTCTCTCCTTCAATTTCTCTTATTTAAAGTCGTAAAATTTAACTATTTAATCTTATTGTCATGAAAAAAACAAAAAAAAATATAAGCAAAACATTTAATTCATTACATATATCATCACATATATATATTACTTTGTTGAAATACTTCAAATTAGATTTCATTACTGTGTAATACAATAATAAGAATCAGCTGATGTTTCACTTTATACCGACAAACTGTCAGACTTGATATCTTGAAGTGAAGGAGTTAGCTTTGCGTTTATGTAAGAAAAGAATGTAAATGTACTTTTTTGCCAAAACTTGCTAATACAGTGATCCAGAAGGTGTTAGTTACGACAATCACACTTCAAATTGCTTCTTCATTCAAAATATTCGCCAAATTAGAACCTTAGCGACTATTATCTGCTCACGTGTATGAATTTTTACGCCAACAATAAAGTTGTATTAAGTTTTGGAATTATTGTGTTTCTGTTAAGGAAGATAATATTGATAAATACAATAAATTAATAAAGGGGGAAAAAAAACTGTCCCTTTTTTATTTTTAATTAGACTATTGGTTTCACATTTAAACTAATAATTCAATTAAATTTACTATTGTAATTCTTCATGCTCCAATATCATTGACAATACAATATTACGGAGAGAAACATACTATAATCGAATCACTTTAATTTGGAACGTTGATTCTGTATTACCTGTTCTTCATATTACATCAATAGATCTGATGTAATGTAAGGTAACAGGCAGCATTAAAAAGGCGGTATTGTTATAAAACATTTGCCAGTTGAAAAAAAAAATCTGAACATAATAATTCACATTATTTATATATTTGAATATATTACATTATGTTTTTATATTTAATAAGTAAATGAAGGTGATTTTTTTAAATCTTATTACTATAAGAATCACGTCTTTTTTCGTATCTCTTTTTTACAAATAAAATTTTGTGTTTCTTCTTCCAGTATCAATATTATCTTATTTTATAAATGTTGTTATTGAAAGGGAGTGGTCCGGTACTAAACACTTTTGAGACAATACTTTATATATTGCATAATAGACAATAAGTTATTACATACAGTTTTAAAATACTTAAATAAATAAATAAACATATTTAATTGAGTTAATTGTTAGCTCCCTTTATACATATAACTGTTTCAAAATTTAATATACTAATTTTAATAACATTATTATTTAAAAATCATTATTTTCAAATTAAATATATACAGAAATACTTCGCTCCTTTGAACTTTATCAATATTAAAAAGTCAGACAAGTTGAATTTATATTCCAAAAAGGTTAAATTAGAAATGTCTAAAATTTACAGAGAGTAAAATTTTGTTACCCGACCAGCAGCATTATTTAAGGGGTTGTAAACCAAAAAAAATATATTTCGAAGTATTTAAAATTTTTTAATCTTAAATATTTGCAATTATTAATATCAGTAAAATTAATGGTTTAAACCTAGTATGTAAAGTTTATATAAATAGTAGTGTTCCTTTTTGGATATATAAAAAATGATTAAGATGAATATGTTCCTAACCACTAAATCCAAATATAAATGCATATACATACATGCATTAGATATTTACATACATATTTGTAAACTATGTCTATATATAATATATATATATATTTATATACATTTATATGTCTGTAAATGTAAGATTATATAGAAGTACATATAATTAAAATATATTTACTTTTTATGAAATTAAGTCTAAATTTTTATTGTTTTTTTAAATATATTTTTTATGTCATCCTTTCTTGGAGGTTATATGAGGACGTTTTATTAGATATAAGGACACACACATTATTTTTATTAATATATTAGATTTAAAACTTTATATCTTAAATAATCGGTAATGTAATAACAGCAAATTTTGTCTTTATGCTTCACCAGAATTAGTTTTACTATTGCAAAAAATAAATTTTAAAAACTTTTTTAATGTCGATAGCTCATACAAAATGATTTATATTCCACCGTATACTGAGACTACGTATTGAAAAATGAACTTAACAGGGTTGTGATGTCGACGCTCTTCGCGCATATGAAACTAAAATTTTGTAAGTTGGATGAATTTTTCTATTTGACAGAGATTCTCATAAGTATATGTACATAGAAGTATATATATGCATTTTTAACATTTTCATATATTTTGAAGCGGCTTTTCATTTTATTTTCAAATAATTTTTAATATATCACAAACTTTGCCATATTAAGAACACACAAACAACCTATTTTACTAAATTATGTACTTTTAACACCTGGACAAATCGATACCGATGACAGCTATTCCTTGAAAAGAACGAGTTATATCTAATAAATCAAAAGATTGTAACCATTTATTTGAAATGAAATAATACTTTTCTTTTAGTTAAAATATTTTGCAACCCCTGTTTATATACACAATTTATATATATTACCTTTGCAAGGTATATATATTTTAAGTGACGGCTAAACGATTACTTTATTTTACTAAAACAATGCTTTGATGCAAAACCATTTCCTTTTGCAGATACTATAAATTCTGCAAAGTTTATAATTTTTTAAATAACACTAAATTACAATTTTTTTCACTATAAACACATTGTAAATGAGTAAGACTATTGGTCTCTACACAATGATGCAAAACAGTTTTATGTCAACTTGGAGTTGCCAAGCAAAATAAAATGAGTTTATCCTAATAGACGACAAACCTGATTGAAGTACAATTGTACAAATTTGGAATTGAAACATATAGAATATTCATATTTAAAATTTTTAATTTTTTATGAATTTTTTTTGTTTAAAAAGTAAACGCAATATAAAATGTTTGCTACATGTGTTTTTAAATTTTTAAAAATTTGTGAATGACATATACATATAATTGTCTGGGAAGATTTGATGAAGTTTTCTTTTTCCAAATTAAACCAAGTTTAAATTGAAAGGATTGGTTGGTAATAGATACGATCTCAGATATGATCAGATACGATCTGTTTGATGCGTTACTTTTAGAAACAATAGGAACTAATTAGCTATTGGTTAATGCGTTACTTTGGAAGTGTCTTATTATTTCCTAATATATACAATCTGTGCAAATTTGCAGTTTATTTCGACAATTCCACGTACCATTCAGATACTTTATTTCATTTTAACACTCTGAGAGAGTCTTTTATTGGAACAGAAAAAAGATTATATTTGTACCTTTGAGAGAGTAATATAATCACAATATTATTTAGGTTAATTATCAAAATTATTTTCGCACATGAGTTCAGAACTTTATGTTAAGAAGGATGCAAACCGTAATAATATTTACTGTATATTATGTTCTATGACCATATTAATTTAAAAACTATCATATCCATTATTAGAAATCGAAACAATAGTGCAAAAACCGCGCGATAGACAGAATCTTGTGTAGCGCTTAGGTTGTCGAATTTCCCGATTTGTTTAAAACAAATATTCCCATCATGTATTATTTTATTTATCACTGAAATATGGTTTTCAAATTTCTTCTTTTTGCTTCACGACTCTGGATATGGATCAGAGAGCAGCAACAATTCATAATTTTATTACTCAGAGTACACCCATAAAAAACCAAATTTAAATGCGTATAAATGTTTTTCTCACACACTATTTATATGCATTTACAGTTTCATAAAAATGCGTATACATTTCTAAGTAGAGTAGCGTAAATGGCAAATGATTCATGAATCATAGCATATACTCAGGTGAGTTTGAATATACTCATCGAAAATGAGCAATGCAATGCTCCAATTAAAATGCCAAATAAGTATATCTGCAGATGAGTATCGTAACTCTTAGGAAAGATCTTCAAGGTAAATTTTCCCAAATCCACTTAAGGATCCATTTTGCAAAAAGGATTCAGTCCTAATCAAACACTAATTCGAAACCGAGGCTGTCTCATGTTTTCAAACAGCTAAAACTCAAGGGAACTGCACATATCTGACTGAGTCGGATTATGCTTCAGCATTCGTCCCGCCAGACGATTTTAGACCAAACTCTGATAAACACATATTTTGTTCTTCAACAAACGAACAGTAAGAAGACTCTAAGAAATAAGGCCAAATCCTGATGTATATAAAGGAAAATGTGCTTTCAAATTCACAGCTTTTACAATAATGTACAAAGCCATTACCAGCAATAAATAAAGTTTTGTATTCGTAAAATAAAAAATTTGGGGTGTGTATACAGTTGTTATATAGTGTAGAAATTTGGAAAACTTAACAATACATTACTTTATATCTAGACTAACTTCAAAAATGTGAAGTGCGTAAGTCGCAGGGGCACTTGGATCGCGTCCCACTATGTTTTACTTTACCGACTATCAATTGACAATTACATTAAACAAACGGCTACCCTTAGTGTACTAAGACTTATTTGGCATTCGATTTGGCTAAAATATTACAATATTCTATCAATTTGTCCAAGTATCGGTTGTAATGAATTAGATTTAATTAGATTAGATGACCTCATCTATACTTTAATAGTAACTTTGCTGCCCGAAGTACTGCAAAAGAAATTTGAGAAATAGGATTTATTATATCGTAAGAAACCATAACGATTTGTTATGACGAGTTGAAGATGGAAAAAAATACGAGAGCTGGAATACACTCCATCGATTTACAATTGCTTTACAATTCTTATCACCTTTGCAATTTTACTTCAATAATTCAGGCAGACGTTTTCGTCATTCAAAGAGCCTATTCTCTCACTATAAACATAGACATTTCGATAAATAGACAATTTTCAAAGGCACTCCATTCTGATATTACCCAATTACATAATTGGCTAATATTGAAAATAGATATGCATTGCATGTAGTTTAAACTAAAGTACAACTTACCACATATTTTAAAAAAGATAGTTGGTAAAAATACTAAATAATTTCGTAACCTAAATAACTCGCTCATGGAACACCATATATCTAGTTTAAGCCAAGTCGATTTGTAAATACATAGACGAAAAATGATCTTGTCTAAAATATGGATCCAGAATCCATAATGAAATATGTTTTATAAAATATGTTCTATCTATAACTTGAATAAAATCAAAACCTTGCAGCACTTTATGGGATTTTATGTTGTACTCCACAAAATAGGATTCAGATATCTTAGAGCAAGATTTTGAAATTAAATAGATATTACTGATCAAAAACAGAAATAATTGTTGACTAGCATATTTTAATAAACTTTGTTAAAAAATCGTTATAGTACGGAAATTTGTTATTCTTTTAGTTTAATTCTTAGTTTACTGAATTTTAATTTTAATCTCTAAATTTTTATTTTTTTTTGCTCTCTTTTAATTTTTTACATTTTTAATCAAATTGTATTTTTTCACTTTATATAAGTGTAATATATATTTAAATTAATAATGAGAAAAAAAATAAACTATCTAATTATATATTCTTTGGGTTTCAATCACATTGTCTACATGTGAAATAAAATAAGTTATTAATGACAATTTTATCTTCAGAAACATACCATTGTAGGTTGTTTGAGTATTGCCGATATAGCATTTTTATAGGTATATTTACAGTAATGATTAAAGCCAACAACGGTTTTAAACATTCGTGAGATATGGTCTTATATATAAAGAATTATGTGAAATGCAGATTCTGTTGTTTCAGGATTATTATTCATCACTAATTACATACAATAATTTATCGACCAAAAATCTTTATAACTTATATTTTTCTCCAATTTGAAATCTTACACTTATTAAAAGAAACTTATTAAAAAAATCTTGTACTTATCAATATAATTTAAAACTCTTTAATTAATATAAAACGATTAATTAAACGCACAAAATTCAACTAAATAGTGGCACATGCCAAATTGTGTAACGAAAACAACAACAACAACGCCATATATTTTTCATTTTCTAGCATGGAGCACCTTCTTGTAAGCAGTGCATGAGGTCTCATGAGCCTTAGTTCGTACTCTTGCTTACGAACGTGAAGCAATTTATAACTTTATGGTGGCTCTTGCTCATGACCGTGAGCTCTGCAATTGGGCTCGCTCGTAAACATGACCAATCGTATGAAAAGAGTTTCTTGTCTACTCATGAGCTGTGAGCACAATGAGCATAAAAGATCCGCTCATGGGTACGCAAATACGAACTCTGTTTTCAACCCTTATAATTTTTTATTACTTATTGAAAAATGATCATTTTTAGGATACGTAGGATTGAGTACTTACTTAGGATACGTATATTGTTATTATTTGTGTGTAAAACTTTTACAATTTTTTATTAATAGAAAGAAAAATGTGTAAAGAATCAGAGCCTTTTTCACTTCTTTATATGATATCAAAAAAATATATATCTAAGTTTTTCAATAAAATTTACCTACTAATAGCAAAATGTTAAAGGTTTACAAAAAACAAAAATTTCTTATTAGCAGTCTATGTTTTATACGCACTCTATGTTATATTTCGAGTCTCAGAAATTACTGACAAATTATGCAAAATATGACCATCAACAAACCTTATATATTTTTACAAAAATCCAGTAAGTGACAATATAACGACATTTATTATATTATAAATATTTAATTTGCTTGTATTTCAAATTTAAAGCAAACTGCGAATAATAAATTGTATTTATTAATGAAATTTCTACTAATAAATTTAAGGTAAGAGGAACAACCATATTTCCAGAACTTAATACAAATCATTATAAAGTTGACGATAGTATAAAATTGACTAATTCCGTATTGATTAATAAACTTCAACTTTCTAACCGTTTAAATTAGTTAAACAAAATAAGTCTGAGGAATATAATCTATCTCCAATCAATAAACTATATATCTATAAATTTATTAATTAATCTATAAATTTATAATATGTTCTTGTTAAAACAATTCCTATACGATCAATAGAAAAATCAACCATAAATAATTTTAAATCAACTTGACACAATTTAATCTACATAAAATTCCTTCAATTTTAGAAAATCTATGTAATAAATGTATAATTAAATCTGGATCAAGAAAATAAAATAAGAGAAAATTAAAAAAGTAATATATAAAATAATAATTTATAATAATTGTATGGGAGCTGAAACCCGCACACGTATTACTTAATATATATTAAGTACAATTTAGCAATAGTAATAAATTAACTAATAGTTAAGATTGTACTTCTCATATCCATTAAAGGATGTTATTAAAAAAAAAATTTACACAATTATTCAAAAAATAAAAATTTAAATTTCCTTATTTTTCATATAGATAAAAAATTCTTAATAACATCTGCAAAAACGCAAACAAAATACAAAATAATAAATAAATCCCAACTTGAAAACGTTCAGATTGGTGTCCTCATTCTAAAATGAATAAACTTGGAATATATCTATCTCCAAAATATTAAAAAAATAGAAAAAATATTAATTTTGGAAAATGTTAAAATCAAAAAAATTAATATAAAAATTACCTTAACTGTAAATAGATTGTTATAATTTTTAGATATATTAATTTTTTATTTAACTATAAATATAAATATTACTATTTATTATTATAAATATTTATTACTATAAATATTATTATTACTATAAATATTATATACCTAAAATCTTATTAAAATTAATCCATAAGAAATTATATCATATTCTAAAAAACAAGAATATAAAAAAAATAGAATAAATAAAAAAAATATGTTGTAAACTATTTAAAATATATTATTAAAAAGACAAAAAAAGGGAATAAAAATTTAACAAAAAAAATACATTTTAAATTTGTAAAATTCTAAACAATTGAAAATAATCATAAACAGGATTATCAAAATAATCTCTAGCCACACGGGTCGATACGCAGATCTTAGCTTTTGAGGAATACATAAATTAATCAGTGTGAAGGGTGGGACTCTGCAGAAACCCCCCAGCTATCAAAAAGTAAAAGTGCCCAGATGTACTAATTCGGAAAAGACTGAATGCGTATGAGAACAGTCTTATACGTTTTTATGATTGCTTTTTACTTGCTAAGTATTGAAATTATGACTATTTGCAGTTCTTTGGAAATAATAATAATAATTCTGCAAAATCTATAGTATTTTCATAATTTTATACGAACAAAAAAAAGTTTCATACGTGCTGTGAGAATCGAATTTATGTAACGAACATAAATTTTTGTTAAACTTTTATGGAATATGTATCAGAAGTAATACTGGAATAAGAAGATTTTAGTTTTTTGCATCGGTTCTAAATTGAAAACTGAATTCCTTTTCGGGTTATTACTCTATAACTTACATACTTAATGCATTTACTTTTGATTTGTTAGACCCATGTTAAGAAGAGTGTCACGGGCACGTCAAAATCAAAATTGTTGTTGCTTTCAATGCAAATTAAGACACTGAGAGTGAGAGAAAAAACATATGTCGGTTTAAATTTGGTCATGAGAGCCGAGGCTATCTGTGCTTCGTCACTCAGTCAAGTCCGTGTTGTATGTATGTATATATGTATATATTTCCTTTAAAATTTAGGCACAGCCAAAAGTAATAATAAAAATATGTTACGAAATTGACAAACTCATGTGACACTCACTATAACAAGCATTTTCGTCATAGCCCGAAAGAGTCAATTTTGATGTGCCCGTGACACTTTTTATAACATGGATCTTAAGTGCAAAATATTCGAAAACTTAAAAATGTGATTTATATTTTATTTATTCTTTATACATGCTTATGTATAGTTATTTTTTTATATTTTAATGAACTCATTAAATTCAGTAAAAATATATTTTACATTTGAATTTTTACAATATTATATACGTTGGACGGACAGACGGTTTTAATACCTTTTCGATTATTTCCTATATATTGTATTTATTTTTAAAAGTACGATATCTTAACTACATTAATTGTAATATGTATATTTATGTCAATAAATATCTTATAAGTAAACGTTGTAAATATAAGATAAGAATAATAAGTTCTACTACCATTATAAGGTGTATAAAATAATAAAATACAAATAATTAAGATCAATAAAAAATTGCTAAAAAATTATAAAGTGGAATTAATTGCTTGTTAAACACACTTTTTACAAACTTAATACATTAAGTATAAATATTTTTACTTATTATTAAATATTGTTCATATAGTTTTGTATTTATATCTTGAAAAAAAACCTCTTACGTTTTGACTCAAAAATTTAAAATTTTCTTCTTTGTTCTCTCTTATATTAAAGAAGAATTATTGCAGAAATTTTAATTTTATCATACAAATTGCTTTAATTGCCTATCAATTTTCATTAAATTAAATTTAAATCATTAAATAATCAATAAATTTACAATAAATTCCGAAACAAATTTTTTGAAAGATTAAACTCAGTTTGGATATCTGGAATATACTTATCCCTCTTAACGCAATTTTTGAAACTTCTGTCACTACACAAGTATAACGTCTTCAATAAATGCATAGGTTAATAATTATATGGTGTTTCCATTGGCAAATCATATTATTTTAAGAATGGCTTTAATGAGAAAGGAAAGTGAAGTCGATTCTGTGGTCAATAAGATATCGATATATCCAAAAGACATCGTATTAGAGAAGCACTGGAACGAAAGGTTACCAACATAGAGTAATGATGTTGGTGACCTATCAAAGGTGAAGTTAGTCTGATGGCGCTCATTTTTCCCTTAAGTTATTCAAAAATTCACTCTGGCTGTATTCATTGGTTTCGTCAATGCAGAAATATTTGTTATATAATGTCTATATTATCTTTATTTGGCCGCTCCGAAGTGGGGCCAACAAAATACAGGTCTTGATAATAAAGTCTCTTATTTGTACGCAAAGCGAAGACGATACTTTCTTATTTTAACAGACTAACGGTTTCTACTTATCTAATAAGCAGCAGAAAAATATGTCCCCAAAGCATTGAAAGTTTCGACGGATGTTCTAGCCATCTGTCAAAAGGTGCCTGTGAACAGCAATTTAAATAAAATAAAAAAATTTTACAAATTTGAAAATTTTAAAAAAGAAATATTTTAAAAAGATGCAAAAATTGTGTGAAATAAATATTTAAAAAAAATACAGAAAATTTTTATGAGAACACGAAGAAAGTATGATTAAATAGCACATTTCAATTTTAACTTGTTAGTTTATTGTAAAAGGATACGACGAAATTTCCTATATTGTTGTCATTATTTTTAATATACTATTCGTTTTAATTTCAAATTTTTAATTAATATTTAAATTTATGTAAAATTTAGTTTACCTTAAATATTGCGCACATACGTAAGACTTGTTAATTGTGAAAATATAATATTTGACAGCTTGCAATAGTGATGGTAATATGTCAGCAAGAGACTTTAGTAAGAGACTTGTTGTTTTTTTGGTATTGCAACTGATTGAAATGGTGTCTTGTTTTGTTTGTTTACTTTTGCTGTTTGGCAATTGATTAAGATTGCACACATCACAGAGATATTCCGCTGCGTGTTACCAAAAGTATTTCCCCTTTTTTAACATTTAACAAAATTATGATGTCAAAGATTCACGTTAGCAAGCAAATGCTTTGGAATATTTTGAAGTATATAAGAAAATGTATTCCCCAGCAGAAGTAATGGTAACATTTTTTTATATATATATGGAAGATTAGTAAAGATTGTAAGATTAGTTTACAATTATAGGTTCACTTTTCTGCTTCTTACTTCAGCAAATGTTTTCAATTACTTATAATGTTATGCGACCTTTTGCCACCTTTTGACAGATGGCTAGAACATCCGTCGAAACTTTCAATGCGGGACTACAACAGAACGCTTTTCGCTTTGGGGACATATTTTTCTGCTGCTTATTAGATAAGTAGAAACCGTTAGTCTGTTAAAATAAGAAAGTATCAGATAGTAGGAGATTTGCATTCCAATTAACTTTCATTTTCTAAGTATTTTATCTTTTACTCTATTTATAAAGTTTATACTGGTAAAATTACGGGATCATCCCTATTATTTTAATGGATATAACTAATAAATACACAAAAGTAACAAAATTTAACCACAAACTACAAACATAGTTTTATTAAGTTGTCACAATAAAATTTCTTTTTTTTTTAATTTTGCACTCTTTATATTTTCTAACCACATTAAGAGAGTAAAAAAATATAAGAGCGTTTAAATAAAGTTTACATTTCAAAAATAAAGCGTAAACTGAACTTCTAAGTTTTAAGTTCTGATTTTTAATCAAGTTTAAGCTTTCAGTGAGAAAGCTTATTTTAATTTTTGTAAAGAAAATGATATTTCTATTAGTTTTAAACATTATTTAATTATTTATTAACAAATATTATCATCAATGGAAAGAATTTAGTATTCAAATAATATAACAAAGGTGATGGTAATAAAATATTTCAGTATATATGCACTCTCAAGCAATGTCAGGCTTATACATTTCGCTATTCGAATTATTAAAATCAATGTTGTTATTGAATTTATTTACCTAACTGTTTGTTTAATATGAGCTTAAAATATAATATTTTCTTGTTTTTTATGTGCATCACATGTTACAATACGTCAGCAAAATATTGTGCACAAATAGAGCAAGAATCACTTACCGTTATCCTTGGACAGGCATATAATCCCCGATACATGAGTATTGTCCACCCGGGAATTTCATATGCGACAAATTCAGCAACGGGTAATAAAAGATCATACGAAATACCTTTTTATGCAGATGAAGACGTAGTATCAACGGGAGATTTTCCAGCATGGGAAACTAATCACTTCAGTTATTATGAAAAGAAATCAGACTACTCTTCCAGCACATTTAAACGGAATATTTCTCCTGACAAAACGTCGAGTCAAACCCAAGATAGCAAATCTAGACCATGGCAATGTACATCGAAAATAAAATGGATTGATTTAGGACTTTCATTTTTTCCTAGGTATATCAGATCCGTAGAATGCATTTCAAAAAAGTGCTGGTATGGACATTATATATGCAAACCTAAATCATTTTCTATTAAAGTACTTCGTAAAAAAGATGACTCTTGCATACGAGTAAGTGAAAAATTAATGACTATGACGTCTCAGACATTTGACAATGATTTTGCTGATCTCTGGATTTGGGAAGAAATCGCCATAAATTTTTGTTGTGAATGTGTTATGATTTATTAAAAATTGTAATCATAAAAGAGTAAAAATTCTAAATGTTACTTTTTGTATTGCATTTAAATTATTTTATAATGTTTAACAAATTCCAAATAAAACTTTAAATTTAGATCAAATTAATTGTTTGTATTACGTTAAATGTAAACTAAATTTTATTCCAACAAATATTGAATACCATTTAAACTAAATTACAAAAAATACAAAAACAGATTATATTCTTAAATCTTCGTTTAAATATCAATATAGATCTATCTTTAGTTACTGTTTAAAATATTTGTTTGAAAAACCTAATTTCAATAAATTTTCAAAATTCTTTCAACTATTTGGACTATAATTATCAGACTGATTTTTGTTGGTTTGAAGTTTTTAACTTATTAAGTATTTAATATATACTGTTTCTTCACGTTAAGAAATGTTTTTAGTATGTAACAAATCTGTTTCTTATATGGACCTTATACCATATTTATATATGCATGTGCTATATTTATAGGCAAAATCGAAAGTGCTTACTACACCAAAAACGCGCACAATTATTTCGCTATGTTCAATAATTTCAAAAAACCTAAAAGTAAACATTTTCAGTTAACATTAATAATTGTATATTAACTTACTTCTCAATTATAATAAAATATTTACTACTTACGAATTTGGTCCTTAAGAGTACCAGCGTAAAGTAAAGAGGAAATGGCAGTGTTGACAGTGACCAACGTCCGCATGCGGTCTAAAGTCACTTCGTAAAGTCTTGTATTTATTAAAAGTATTTTTCTCTAGAAAAAATTTTTTTTATCTAATTAATTTAATTAACTCTCTTTTAAAATACCTATATAAATAGTATGTATACATATATAAAACTCATAGGCTCGTAGACAAAACAAAGTATGCACTCAAACTTCCATAATTCAAAGTACCATTTTGCAAAGAAAAGGTTTGACTTATGGAGACTTCAAGTTAGAGAATTTTTTTATTTTCGAAAAAAGCTAGAATCATATTTAAGAATATATATATTTATTTGAAATCAAACACAGCACAGAAGTTATAGTGAAGTGAAACATTCAGAAATTAGGGTTTGGGATTTCAATTTCTTTTCTTTTTTTCAGTAAAAAAAGATTCAAATTTATTCCAAGCCTTATAGTGATCAACATTTGGAGTATCATTCATTTGGAATTAAAAATTCAAAATTTTGAAGGAATCTTTTACTTCATTCTTGGAAGGCTAACGAACAATTTCATCCACCAAACCCTTATCATCACTTTCCGTTGCACTTAGAATCGGATCCACTAATTTAGATCTATAGTACTTAATAATATTGTCATTTGTAGGAAAGCTTGATGAACAAAATTCATTGTCAAGACAATATAATCGTTAAGAGTAGCATTCAAGTTATAGAAAATTCGAGTTATGGAAGTTTGACTGTAATTATATTTTATGTTTTGTTTAAAAATGGGTGTTCTTTTATTCAATAGGTTTAGCATTTAACAAATAAAGTGTATCAAGAAGTAGAAAAAATGATCTGGCTACTTAAAATTGTCGATGATTGTGATATTATAAGGGTGTTAGAGTAAGATTACTTAATATTAATTCTAGAGCACACAGTAGGTTTTCTTTTTAATCAAAAACGTAATTTGTGTTTATAAATCTCAGCAAACATTAGGATATTGTAGAAATAAATTTGAATTGGCTTTAACATTTTTCTCTGAAACAAAATGGAAGAGGAGAATGAAAACAGTAAAAAGGATATTCTTGATGATGTCATCGAATGAGTAAATGACTTGAAAAATAAGTCTGATAAGCAGTACTGAATGTATATGAACTTTTGAGTTTATTGTGGAAATACACATATGATACAAAGTCTCACTATGTGTAAACAATTTAAAAACCCTATTGCAATCGGCCAAAGTGAACTGAAGTACCAAAATACAGATTTGAAGAAAACGTAATTACAAATATGTATCTCAATTCAAACAAAAAAAAAAAATTCCAGACATATGCATTAATAAGGCTATGGTAATGCGGAACAGATTCGTATTTTAACACAATATATGCTGATATATTTGATATATGCTGAAATTTGACTGAAAATGGTCAATTATTATTTTGAACTTGGTTTTAATTATGACAATTACTTATAATTTGATTAGCAAGAATATATTCCTGCTTACCTTGTACTTATTGCATTATACATCTCATTAAACAATGAATCAGAGTTGGAATCTACAATTAATTAGAGAAACTTAATATCTATATATTGCCAATTATATTATAAAAATGGTGTACAAGAAAAAAAGAGATGACTTTATATTTTATAATTTATTTTTGTACTAAAAACATAATGTCGATGACATTTAGCTCCATCTATAATGAGCATAAGCTCTATTCTTTTCGCATTGGATGTGCAAATCATTTTTTCTCTTTACAACTCTTCCTGTGCCATGAGCGGCATCTATCACTTCCCAAGCAAGTTTACGAGGCAAATGAATCTTTCTATCTTTTTCTCGTGCTGCTTCCAATAACCATTTCATTGCTAGAAAATATGATGTTTTTTCGGAAACTGGTATAGGAACCTGATATTTGACTCCACCTCTTTTTATGGCTGTCAATTGTAGTATGGGTCGACAATTTTCAATAGCTGTTATCAAAAGCTTTTCTGGATCCGTAATAATTTTTAGCTTTTCATCAGCAGAAGCGATGTGAAAACGTTCTAACTGCATTCTTTTAATATTTTCCATACTTTGCTCAAGCAAATTTCTAGCCAATTCTTTGTTGCCACCCTTGGTTATATAATTTACCATTTTCTTCACAATTGGATGATAATATATGGAATCTGACTCGTCATTTTTCGCCGGTTTTGTAGGTGTGTGATTTAATTTATACAACTCTTCGGGGCTCAATTCTTTCTGTCTGTTTTTCATTACCGAATCAACATATCCTGGTGGAAAAACCGACATGCGGCGATATAAACAGTTGGTGGAACTAAATAGACATTTAACAGTATTAAAAAAATAGGATATTATGCATTATTATACCTGAATAATTTGCATTCTAAAATCGTTCGAATCATTTTAATAACAATTTAACTCAATTTAAACTTTTTTTTTCAAAGTTTTTCGAAGTTGGTGAAGACTTTTATGTCAGAACAAAACAAAACAATACAAAACAGGATGCTTCATAAACGTAACAATTTACCATGTGCCTTTGGTAAATTTATTAAACACGTATACAGCAAACATGTCAAACATGATTTAATATTTTTGTAACATAAGTTCATAAAATACACAGAATTTACAATGAAATATGCTGCAGATTATTTCTGAAGCACAGAATACTAAGAAGAAATTATTTTAAAATATACAAACAAAAAAATATAATATGTTATATTATGACAATAATTATATCATGAATTATTTAATACCTGAAATATTTACCCTGCAACTTAATCTGAATTAAATATATAATCGGTTAAATAGATGATAGCATGTGTTATACAGTAATAATTTTTAAATTTACGCCTATTAGTAGTTTTTTACAAAATGATTGACAGTAACTGAAATTTTAGTTGCACGCTAATTAATTATCTGAGCAATAGGAGTTAATAATAGTTAGTTATACCGCTTTCGATTAATAAATCTGGGGAAGCTTTTTTAATCGAGATTCTTTTTGAATACAATTTTCAGTATCGATTCGTAAATCTCGAGCAGAATGTATAACGCTTAAAATTACTTTATAACACTAGATATATGGCTAAAGAAGCCAGATTAATGTCAAATTTACAATTGTTTTATATGACTTGACATATAAAGAGTGATTTCATTCAACAGAAGCTCACTAACATGATTACAAAAATATTACATTGTTATAAAAAAGTTCTCTTTGAATAACAAAATTTGACAGATTGAGAGTAAATCTGGATTAACACCAGATTTACCAACCGAAATCACCATTAGGTAATAAAAGTTAATAATAATTAGTAAAGTGCCAATAGTTAACAGTTAATATTATAATAACTAGTTTAATAATAGTTTAATATAACAAAACAGATTAATTATAATTTATAAATAAAAATATAACTAAAAAAATTAGATAAATATATAAAAAATAATTTTTTCTATTATTTATTTTGTTAGTTTTTCCATCCAGTTGTTTATAAAAACAGTTAAAACTGGTTTCATACTAAAACAAATCTTATAAATTAATATACGAAAGTATATTATCCAAGATGTTGCCTTACTTTTTATATTTTTGTAATGTGGATTTGAATTATAATAAATATTTTCTGTTACTGTTTTTGAAATAATTAACAGTTTCATCTTTCATTGTTTTGTAATATTTTAATAATATATTTTAAAACAATCTAAATAAAGTTTAAATTTATTAAAAATTTAACTTCAAATAAAGTCGAATTTATGGATGATACATATATTTTATCATTTTATTTTAATCACAAACTTATTTTGATAAATTTTTTGTTTATTTTTAACTTTTATATATCAAAAACTCATATTTTTAATTTTTTAATGATATAAATTTATAATTAAATATATATTTCTATATAATATATATACTTAAATATTTAATTTTATTTATTTTCGTACATTCCAGGAGTGGAAATAATCCTCTCATCCAATATAGCACACTAGACAGTATAAGTGTACTAGTAGAGAGGAGTGGAGGTTGGCAATATTATTTGCAATCACTCAGAAATGGAATTGGTTGTCAATTCCTCTGATGCATATAAGATAGCAGGGGATGATAGCATCTTCCCAGCCCTATTATAATTACAAGCTGTTGATATCATAACCTGCCTAAAGTGTAATTTTGTTTTTAATTTTTAAGTTGAAATTATTTTGAAGTCGGTTTTATTTTTTTATAAGAATATTAACTTTTATTTCAAGCGTTAATTTTTGTATATTTCTATAAGTATTTTCCAAATTCGCTTTTGCCTTCATCAAGAGAATTTCTGATATATTATATTAGTTATATTATTATATAATATTAGTAATTCTACGGAAACTACGGAAACAACCAGTCTTGATATTAACGAAGGCAATATCATTCTTCGACTGAAGGAAAGACTTGGTCCAAGAATGGAATGAGGTATAAATCAATCAGTTTTGCTTTGGAAACTGACTGCGACTGGATCATGGACTACAAGAGAACCGCAGTGTGCTTTGTTTGAAAAGTACATTGAGCTCATCGACTATACTGTAACTAATTCAACTGCGAAACGTCGCGATTTCCCTAGAGGTAGGCATTCAGTTTCTGTGCGGTGGTGAGCCACTTGCTGACGATTGCAAGTGATGAATGAAGAGTGGAGATAAAAAATGTGATGACTACAAATCGAAATTCTATAGAACTGCATATTTTTATTTAACAATCTAGAAATGTTGAATCTTGTTAAAAATTCGTTTCATAAAAAAAAAGTTACACATATTTTATATATGCATTTCATATAAACGTGTTAAATGTTAAGTATAAATATATATTAAATATATTTATAAGCGTATGAACCCCTTGTTTTTGTATTCGGCAAAATAAATTCTATTAAAAGATTGATTTATTATGATAGATATATTATACATGTGGATGTATTTCTTTAATTTATCGTTATCTGTTTCTAAACATATCACTATCCTGATGTCTAAGTTCCATTGCGCTATGAAATTTAAATTATGTTAAAAAAGGATAAGAGTAAGATCAAATATATTTACGATCTTAAAATATATTTTAATTTATTGCACTATTATATATACAGTGCGTAATAAAAATAAATAAAAAAGAATTGCTATTTAACATAATTTTTATTAAAGCTTGTATATGAAGCCATTTCCCGAACTTGTTTAAGAAAATTATTAAATATTTGATTCATTTACGATTCAATTTTATTAATTTGATTAAAATCATTAAAATGGAGGCATATAGTTACAAAAAAAAGTTAATAGTTAGTGTGATATTTTAGGGAAAGTTAAAATATCATCAGAAATCATGGTAAAGATCCAAACCAACTTTCAGCCTTACCGGCGTCTTATCGCCGTCGAATATGTAATGTAGGTGGCAGCATTAAGTGTCGAAAAAATTGTATATAAACTTTCTTTATAATATGGACAATTTAAGGGAAATGTGAAATATTATTAAAAATCATGGTGAAGGCCCAAACCACCATTCAGCCTTACCTGCGATTTGCCGACCTCGAATATGTAGCTTCTGTGTCAGCATTAAGTGTCAACATGATGGTTTAACAGCTTAAATCATCCAATGTTGTTTGGATTGAGTATAATAATCCAACGATCTGACTGAACCAAAATTTTGTATCAGAGCGTTCTCCTAATCACAGCGCTGTAAAGGCAACAGCTGAACAACCCCTTATGATCCCGCATATGCTCAGTTTTTGAACTTGGTTGAATACGGCCGACGTACAAATGATAATTTGACGTCCAAATCAGAATCCACTTGATTCTTGATGAATTGTGTGGTTACTATTAACTAAAATGTGATGTGGTGCTCATAGAGCGTAAATAAGTATTTACCTTTACTATAAGTGTTGTATTTATAATTCTCACATTTCTATATATAGTGTAAGTGTATATCTCGCTATAATGATTGAGCGCAATAAAAAATCTGTTTTTTCTTACTAGAGACTTTTTTAACAAGAAGTAAATACAACGGCAATTCTAAAAAAAACAGTAAAATTGATGTAATATACAATTTTAGTTCAATTTATTTCCAATTATTTTTGTTAATAAAATTAAATTTTTTCAATAATCCAATTTTGGAATACAAATCCAAAGTGATGAATAATCTGAACATTATACGTTTTATTATTCTGGATCACCACTCCATTTCTATATCATAAAAAAGACAAGAATAGTGACGATGTCCTTAACGGTATGTTTAATAAATAATTTTTTTATGCTACCTTATTTTATATTTTAGTCATATATCACATGTAAGGTTGTAATTTTTATTTTTTGTTTAAGTTTTTCGTCTTTTATTTTTGAATCCATGGTAGTCATATACTGTGACTGTATATTTAAGGATTGTTTGCTAATCCTAATTAAAGAGAGAGAGAAATACAACCGTTACATTTATATTTTAAAGCGCATGACTACAAAAACTGTTATATGTATAAAAGTGAAATCAGTAAATTATTATCTATACATTTTCATATGTATATTTTTATTTCTTCTTTCCGACTTTCGCGAGAATTTTTAAAATAATTTGTTCCGATAAGTGTTTTTAAAATGCATCGGATATTGTATAAAATAATAATTGTTCTTATAGGTAAAAATAAAACGTTTAATTTAAAAAGCTGTTGCCTATTTTTATTAAATAATTTCGTGCATGGCTTGAAAATAGCAAAAACATGAAAAGCTTTTTTTTTAGATTGTTTATTAATTGAAATATAAAAGTCCTGAAGACTTAAAGTAATATTGCTTTGTGGTGTAGACAAAGTTATACTTTAATAAAAGGCTTTATATCCGGGTTCTATAAATAATATTGTTTTGAGACATTGTGTCAATTATAAATATATACATAAGTGATATGAATAAAAATGCCAAGAATTGCTTACAACCACTCTGTGATGTTAAAAATATTTTTTTCAAGCAATATTTGCATATATTTATGTTATTATGTATTTTTGTACGAAACCTTCCTTATACATTTACATAAAAATTTTAATTTTATTTTATTAATTTACCCTAATTTATTGGAAACGCGACTTGAAGTTTATAAAGGTAGGTCAGGAAATTACAATAAAAGTGCTTCTATTTTCACTTTTATCTAAAAAAGGGTAGCAAAAACAAAGACTCATATCGAATAGTTTGATTTATTTAAATCTTTATTTATTTTAATTTATTATATTGCCCTTTTTGGGTGCATATTTATTCTGCTTTCAATCTCTGAGAAATCTTATTCATTGAAATTTTATTAGTAAAAATTTTTTAAAAACGAAATTTTTTTTCAAAACAGTATTATTTAACAATCAACCAATTAGTCCGTTTCAAAAATATAATTATTATTAAAAATATTGGTCATCAAAACAATCAATTGTTAGCAGAAACCCTAAAAACTCATTTGCTATTATTCGCTATCAGTCATACGCCATACACAGACAGATAAAATAAAAAACAGACAAACATATGGACATCGCTCAACCGATTCGTCTTCACGTGCTGACCAAAAATATACGTGAGATTAATGTCTAATAGATCTTTTTGACCACATTTAAGCAGTGCTGATAAATTCACTTGCACAGAGACTATTTTGTAGCAGACCTGGAATATTTATTAAAAATTATGAGAATTTATTAAGATTTTTATAGTTGGCACATGAATTGAATCAACTGAACTGATGTTATTAAATTATTTATAAATATCAAGGTTCTATATTTGATAAGATTAAGGTTTTATATATATACATATAAAATCTTTACAATTATTACTAAATTCAATTATTCAAAGCTTTATTAATCAACTCTAAATAAGTCTGTGTTAAGGGTATTTAAGCTTTAGTGTAGTTAAGGATTAATATTAATATTAAATATAATAGATTATAATAGAATATAATAGACAACTTATATTCACAAAATATTGATCTCGCTCGTGCGAATCGTGGAGTAACATTAGCATGACTTTCTCAGTATTACGTTCCTAGATAAGGTTCTATACATAAGAAAGAACAAATCATTCAACAAATAATGCCTCTACAAACAGAATAGTATTGAAATTTAACAATTAAAAATAAAAATATATTTAATTAATTCAATTATACCACAGTTGGTTTATGATTTCGTTTTAATATAAACACAGCAAATGAATTGTTTTTAAAAACTTTCATAGCAAAAGTAACAAAACGCCAGAAAAATATGTGTGCGAACATAAAAGTCAAGTACGGCTTAGGGTCAGTTAGTTAAGTTGACCTGACTCTGAGTTCCAAATTTAACAGGACACGATTTCCATTCCTTGTACTTGAAGTCTCAAAAAACTATTTACGATTAAATAATACAAGAATTATTTCTAAGACCACTGATAATGGGAAATAGCTGTATGGTCAGCCAAAAGTTCAATTACTTAAAATAATATAAAAATGAATTAAAGTTGTTTGACTATTGGTTTGACCAATTATATGCTATTTATAAATAAATGTATTATATTAAATTATTGTATATAAATAAATAATTTTCATAGAAAGCAACTACAAACATGATGGTCGACGCTCATTTAATCTCCTTTATAATATTACTTTAACAGCTGGTGGTGTATTATAAATTTTTCAGTCATTGTAATTATATTACATATATTTAAATCAATTTTTAATTTTTTGCTTAATTATAGTTTTATTATTATTATTACATTTAAGACCAGAAAACATTTTAAATTAAAGGTCCAAATTGTATACTATTAGCATTTATAACGCAAATCCTGTGACAAATCTTATAGCGATGTTTGTGTTCCTATTTTAAAGTAAGAATCTCAGAAGAATGTCTCAGCTTTTAGAATAGAAATTTTGAAAATAAAGTTTGAATATTTTTCGAAACGAGTTGGTAAACTGAGTACTTCGGATAAAGTTTTTTAATTTTTTATAATAGTATTTAGTAGTAATTTGGTATGTAATGAATGTAGACACAATGTAGAAACGCATTTATGGATTTTCACTTAGAGTATTGGAAACTGTGTGTCGATTAAATGTTTTTGCAAGAAATTTCCAATATATATTAATATATTTCAAAAGATTAGGATGCTAAATATTGTAATACATATTTTACATGTATTGATATTCAAATCTAGGTTGATGGAAAATTTTCTTTTGAACATTTTTTTTACTAATATATAAGTGTTAATTAAACGTTGCTTTCAAAGTGCATATTAAAATAGAAGTAGATATATTAAAATTTAATATCTTTCTATATATTTCTTCTTCTATTTATTTTCATGTGATTTCTCCTATGTAGTTTGTTACAGAGGAATAGAAAGCCAATACATAAATCTGGATCACCTACAAAGAGTATACAATTATTCTGATATTATAGCAAAGGAAGTGATAGAATTTGGTGTCACATCTGCAACAAATGATAAATCAATTAAATTTAGCAAAGCATTGGATAGAGGACCTTATTTTGATACATCCGCAACAAGAAATGTGACTTCACTTGTTGGAAAAACTGCCCACCTTAACTGCCGAATAAAAAATTTAGGAAACAAAACTGTAAGTTAATTTTAACTCCGAATATATATAATTAAATTAGAATTTAATATACACAACTTCAAGAACTTATTATTGTCAGTACGAACACCAAAAAATTGATTTTAAGCGTTGAAGACTTTGCAAGATATTAGCTCGAATTATAGTGCAATCTCCAGCTGAATAATATTTTTGTATCTAAAAATCCAAAAACTTTTTGAATCCAAAATTTTTTAAAATTCCGATAACTTCTGTTATGATCTATCCGTTACATGGGAGTTTAGCATTATGTTATGCAAATAGCATATGACCTACGTATGATACAGTTTACTTTTGAAACTCTGTCATCAAATTATCACAGAAGTTACATAAAAGCTAAGAGTTTTTTACCAGTGTATTTTTCCGAAATTATAATAATTAAATATCTTGGTTACAATGTATATTATTTTAAAAACATAAATCGATCTGTTTAATATTGAGAAAATTTTCAATATTAAAAAAACTGTTTTCTTTGAAAATGCATTAACTATATTTTAATTTATAAATTTATTCCAAACAATAATTGTGTAATATTAATCTTAAATTAATAAAAAATAAACATGGGAGATATTGAATTTATTGGGTAGTAACTATCACAATTATAAACTTTTAATTATCAGTATGTACCAGTATTAGATAATATAAAATTATGTACATATATAAATGTATTAATTTTTTATTTTATTTAAAAATATCTTTATGTAATATACATATGTATTTACATATAAGTATATATTTTACATTATATTAATAAATATCTTAATTTATATAGGTATCATGGATAAGACATCGAGATTTACATCTACTCACTGTAGGCGAAAGTACTTATACATCTGATCAACGGTTTTCGTCCATGTATAATAAATTAACTGAAGATTGGTCATTACAAGTAAGATTCGTTCTTAATAATAATTTTAAAATATTGAATTCAAAAGATTTTCACAATTAGCTTTTTTGAGTATTCGAAAATTTTATTATTATTATTATTTAAATTGATTAAAACCTAAACTCAGCTGATGTGTAACAAAACTCAAAATAAGTATTAAACGTTATTTGTGTATTTACTTATAAGTACTTCTACTTTTAGATAAAATTTCCACAAATTAGAGACTCTGGAGTTTATGAGTGTCAAGTTTCAACATCGCCCCCAGTTGGATATACAATGGTTTTTTCCGTTGTCGGTAAGTTTTATGTATGTATACAAAGATAATCACATATTATTTGGGCTTAACGTCAGTGTGTGACATGTACTGGAAGTCAAAACAAAACAAAAAACACATAAAATATCTATATATGATTTAAGCAGGCTTGCTTTAGTAAGTTTGAACAGAGCGATTCAAACAGAGCGATGTATAACAGTCATTGAAGGTATTTTGGAACAAATGGTTAAAATTGATTCCCGATTAGGTACACTGTCTTGCAGATCAGCCACATTCTAACAAAAATGTGCGCTTCTATCATAACTCTCTCTGTTATTTTTAATTTTCTTTTATGTGTCTTCTTTATTTTTTTCCTTCGTTAAAAAAATGGTAAAATATCATAATTTGTTTTTTATTTTTTAAATAATAAAACTAAAAACTTATATTTAATAGCTGAAAAATATTAAAAATTCGCCTAAAATCTGGAATTATTAGTCCACTCTTTCGTTTTTTTTTATTTGATTTTAATTATAATTTTGTATCAATCATACTTGTGCAAGTCGGAAGTGGTTTCAATAGAGAAACATCAAAGTTTTAGTCAGTCAAGTACATTATCCGAACTAAATCCAATTAAAAACATTTAGAAAAATCTCCACCAATCGCACCAATCTTATGCTGGAGAATGCATGTTTAAATATATGATAGAGCTAAAAAATTTTTTAGTTAATCAATATACTTAAATCCTTTTTCTCAGGTTTCAAAAAAAATTAATTTAATGCCAAATATTTAGTTTGGATCACTAATACGCCATGTGATCATTTGTATTTTTTTTTCTTAAAAAGTGCAGAATTGCTTCCTAAAATTTAGGTTTTTTGATAACACTTGGTATTATAAGTTTGTAATTATTTTATATTTTAGATAATGGGTATTTTATATTGTAAATGTGTGTTAAATTTTTTTTTTGACTTTATATGTGCGGAAAGCAATTGACTGCTTCAGAAACTTCGGTGTAATTTTTGTGATACCTACCTATTTGTTTAAAAGGGCTTATTAATTTTAATTCATAAGAGAAAATATTTTTGCATTATTGATTTCTAGTTTAAGGATTTTTGTTACAGCAACAGTTTTTATTTTGGAATGAATTTATTTATTTTATTTTTAGAACCTGTAACAAGTATTCCAGGTGGTCCCGAGTTATACATTGACACGGGCTCAACTGTCAATCTTACCTGTGTAGTAAAACATTTACCCGATCCACCAACCACCGTTCATTGGACCCATAATAATGAAGTAAGTATTATATTAAAAAAAGTTGTTCTATATAAAGAAATATAAACATTATTAACATACCTTTTTCTTTTAATTCTGTCAATATAAGTTTTACCGTTAGATCACCTTTAGATAAATTTTAGATAAAAACCTTTAAATAAAAATTTTAACACAGCGATAAGTGATCTCTTATCATTTCATTAGAAATTTTAACGAATATATTAAATATATGTCAAAAGTTTGTAAATAAAAACTCAAACAAAATTAAAAAGTTTTTATTTAAAAATTTTGGAAAAGTTTTTGAAATGAAATTTTTTAATAATTAATTATTTTAATGAACAAATATTTTGAATAATAAATTTGTTTTTTAATGAGCTAATTTGTCAGCAGTTAAATAAAACAATTTTTAAAAAATTTTTTTTGGTTTTTCAAAAATTTTATTTAAAGCGATATTTCGACTACTATTAATACAATATTAATACAATGTAACAATATTTTAGTATATATCACAAAGGAACGATTATAAAATACATTAACAGTGAATTTTTTTTTGCATAACTTCAAGAAACACTTTAGTTTCTTACCTACCAAATTGTTGGAAAGATATTTGTTTTTTATATGAAATGCTTTTTTATAGCACTAAAATTTCAAAAATGTTGTATAGTGCATACATTTGTTTTTCCGGTACTGTTTTTAATTTTTATATAACGTGTATCTAAAAATAAAATTTTTTTGGAATTTACGGATTCCACGCCTGTCCAAACAGCCAACATTTTGGCTTAGAAAATACTGTAGTGCGTAATTGTTTGTCAGGTTTTATGCCGTCACTCTGCTTCTATTGTTATTCGAGTAATTATTATTGTTCTATATTAAAACAAGAAAAAAAAATAAAATTAATACAATTATTTTATAATTTAACAGATAATTTCTCTTGATTAAGTATTAACATTATTTCTGTTTATTAAGGAAATAAATTATGATTCTCCACGTGGTGGTGTGTCTGTTATAACTGAAAAGGGTGATATAACAACATCATATTTACTAATTCAACGTGCTACAGTTTCCGACTCTGGAAGATATTCGTGTTTACCATCTAACGCTAATTCAAAATCCGTTAATGTACATATACTCAATGGTAAGTATTAAAAATCTTCAACATTGCTATTTTAAATATTTAATTAAGATATTGAAAACTTATTACTGCTATTACTTAACAGAATGTTTTAATATAAACTAAATTAAAAATAAATCTGTTACACTTTCAGGGGAACATCCAGCAGCGGTTCAACGCGCGGGATTTTTTAATTTACATAGTTGTAATATTTTTATTGTATATATATGTTGTCTTTTAAATTTAATATAAAATGTAAATATAAACTTATATAAAATCTATTGACATAGTCTAGCAATAAAAATTAATTTTGCGAATAATCAAATCATCTAAGACTTTTTAATTAAAACAAAACTTACCATAGTTTTTTTGAAATGTAATTATTACAATAAAATTTTATTTTTAAGTAATTGAATTTATTAGTTTATAAGTCTGTACATAAAATAAAATAACTTTCATCATTTTTTCACACATTCTCCAAAATTATAAATTTTTAATTTTGCTAGATTTTTAGCGTATATTTTAAGTATAGTGGTCTTAACTACACCATATTGGTACCTACGTATGCATACTTTTTTCTTAAGTTGAAAACATGATAATGTCAACGTACTATTCTATAACTCCAAAGAAATTTGAAATACCCCAAAACAGAATAGACTAAGAGATATCCCCGAGGTATTGAAGAAGGGGGCGCCCAGAAACTTAAGCCTGGTTCTGACCAACCCTGGACATAGATGCAGCAGATGTTCTTGGATAACTGGTAGACACGTATAGAAGGAAATACCACAGAGTAGGTCAAGCCTAGCTTCATGCCGTTGTATGGTCTAGTGCCCTTTAAAGACAGGTAATAACCTAGATATCTCTGATTTGCTCCTATGGAATAAGTCAGAGGTTTTACATTTGGAATAGATTGGCCATATTGCCCTTCATCTGACTGCTGAGGTAGCGAGGGCCCACTATTTGCTTTCGTAAAAAAGAGTCATAAATCAACCTACGACCGTAGTTAGCAGGCCCTGTTGAAATAGAGGTATCAGTAGAAAAGGCACCCAGTCTAGCAAGCTTCTCTCCGCGCTCATTTCCTACAATATTAGAATGCCCGGAAACTAGAGTTACTTTGGACCTCTTACTTAGTGTATGAATAAATTCTTTGCATTCTTGCACTAATCTGAATGATATACAAACCGCTGATAAGGTTTTAATGGCTGCCTGACTATCAATAAGAATACAGACCTCCTTTCCGCGAAAGTTCATTCTTGAAGCAATAGCTCATGAACTAGGATGACGAAAATTTTTGCATGAAATATTAAGGTGGAATCTGTAAGATGGAATGATTTGCTAATCATTTGGTCCGTAGAAAAGATTCCGGATCCAATGCCTTTATCCATCTTAGACTCGTCGGTGTAGATCGTTATCTTTCCTAGAGTTGTAAGCAGTTCTTCCCTTCCTCCCAATCCCCTTTTAAAGGAGTTATAGTGGAAAATTTATTGTCGAAGGACATAGGTCCTGTAAGCAAGGACATTGGTAGTTCGATTCTATATTCTCATCTATTAGAAAGATTGAAGGAACATTATCATGTCCGAACACGACCGTGCGTCAACAGTTTAAATCTTTAAGCCTCTGTGCGCTGAGAGTGGCTACTTGTTTGATATAGATATCAATAGGTTACAAGTGAAGTATTATATTGAATGCACTGGTAGGGCATGATCTCAGAGCCCCCATTGCGATCACACAAACAGATCTGGTTAGCCTTAAAACAATGTATTGTTTATTCAGCCACCATATTAGACATTCGTATGTTAAAATTTGCCGAACGCAGTGTAAAGCCAGAAAATCACTTTTAGCTGCAATCGCATGAACCATACATCCACTTGTACACATAGAATACCACATATGCTTTTCGATTTCTTTCGTCGATGTTAGCATTCCAGTTAGCTTTGTGTTAAGAATTATTCATAAGTACTTGACCTTGTGCGACAGAGTTTGAAATTTTATATCTGCTGGAAAACAGTAGCCACTCTGTCTTAAAAAGGTTTACGCCTACGTCATACACCCTCCATGATATTACTTAGAACCGAAGGAAACATACCTGTTACCAAAAGGATAACATCATCCACATAGCCCACTGCTTTGACTCCTCCTGGTTCGATTGGTGTACATCTCTTGATACATTCCTTATGCTTAGATTACCCATCTCTGCAACAGTTACTATCTCCGTAGAAAAGATTCCGGATCCAATGCCTTTATCCATCTTAGACTCGTCGGTGTAGATCGTTATCTTTCCTAGAGTTGTAAGCAGTTCTTCCCTTCCTCCCAATCCCCTTTTAAAGGAGTTATAGTGGAAAATTTATTGTCGAAGGACATAGGTCCTGTAAGCAAGGACATTGGTAGTTCGATTCTATATTCTCATCTATTAGAAAGATTGAAGGAACATTATCATGTCCGAACACGACCGTGCGTCAACAGTTTAAATCTTTAAGCCTCTGTGCGCTGAGAGTGGCTACTTGTTTGATATAGATATCAATAGGTTACAAGTGAAGTATTATATTGAATGCACTGGTAGGGCATGATCTCAGAGCCCCCATTGCGATCACACAAACAGATCTGGTTAGCCTTAAAACAATGTATTGTTTATTCAGCCACCATATTAGACATTCGTATGTTAAAATTTGCCGAACGCAGTGTAAAGCCAGAAAATCACTTTTAGCTGCAATCGCATGAACCATACATCCACTTGTACACATAGAATACCACATATGCTTTTCGATTTCTTTCGTCGATGTTAGCATTCCAGTTAGCTTTGTGTTAAGAATTATTCATAAGTACTTGACCTTGTGCGACAGAGTTTGAAATTTTATATCTGCTGGAAAACAGTAGCCACTCTGTCTTAAAAAGGTTTACGCCTACGTCATACACCCTCCATGATATTACTTAGAACCGAAGGAAACATACCTGTTACCAAAAGGATAACATCATCCACATAGCCCACTGCTTTGACTCCTCCTGGTTCGATTGGTGTACATCTCTTGATACATTCCTTATGCTTAGATTACCCATCTCTGCAACAGTTACTATCTTATGTAGTGCCGTTTCTGTGGCCTTCCTTTTGGGGTAACCATGCTCAGCTTTCGATAGGTTTGCAAAAATAGGTGCGGATCTAATATAAATGTCGATCAGTCTTTCCATAGTCTTAAGTAAGAATGAAGTAAAGCTGATGGGTCTATACTCCTGTGACCTGCTCTATCTGCCTTTGAAATAAATGCTACTCTAACTGGTTTCCAAACGCTGGAGAGATGGTTGAGTGAAAGGCAGCTACAGAAAATCGTAGAGAGCCAATTTACACCCACATCTTCCAGAGATTGTAACATAATTGGGTAGACCCCATCGGAACCAGGACTTTTGCACGGGAGGAAGGAATCGCCTGTACAGTTTCAACAGAGTTGGCTGAACGATACGGTGATACCTTCGTAGGATCGTCGGAAGGGCCGGGAAAATGGGTATCTACTGATTGTGAAAGATATTCAGTTAAGGATTTAACTTTCATCTGAATTATTAATGAGGGAGCGGCAAGAATGAACATTTGCTAACAGTTTGGCTAATTTGGCCGATTCCTTAGTACCTTCAATTTGCTGACAATACGAATTTGTTGGCACTTTCTTGAAATCCCATAGCATGTTTTTGTAAGTCCTAAAATAATCATTATATGGAGTCCCAATCTTGGTACAATAGCTAACGTTAAAAGCTTTTCGCGCATTCTTGCGGAGCTAGAGACCTTCTCGTTTCACCATCGTGGCCTGCATTTCTCCGCATAAGAGCGAGAGCACGATACTTTAAAGGAAGATGAAATGTGAGTAATTGAGTTGACCCTACTCTCTAATTTCCTAATCGAGTTAATTGGAGCGGGATCCTGTTGATCTTGATATTGAGCAATGCACTAAAAGTATTCCAGTTTGCTTTCCTGGGATTACGTTGAAACTGTTTATATACTATGGTAATATTTATCACAAACATGATGTATCTGTGATCAGAGAAGGAGTTCTTGGCTGAGACTCTCCAATTATTAATATCCAAATAACGGGAAGTCCAACAAAGAGTGATATCAATAACATCTTCCCTACCTACATGATTACCCTTATTAGGAAAATCGAAGGTAGGAATGTTACCCTTATTATAAATTCCAAGTTCAAGTTTCAAGAATTTATATCATAAACATAATCATACTCCTTATCCGTTAAGATAGGTACGGCGGACCCGACAAAAATTAGACGAATGAAGTGACCACCACAACAACGTTCCGTACCATGCTTAGACCAAACTTAATCCTCAAGGCGGTCACATATTGGAGAGGCTCCGCAAAAACACAGTCAGACAGACCCTTTGACTGCAAACCTAACTCCTGTAAGTACGGATCGCGTAACACTTCCGAGTTAAGGGGACCTTTATACCATGATTAAAAAAGCATTGAGTGGTGCACAGCTATTGAAGATATAAGGACACTCACCTAATTCTTTCTGATCTTAGTTGAGTACCGCCCTAATAACGTACATGATGGGAATACTGCGTGACCCATTTCCAGGCGGCTTTTATAAAATGTTTACTTTTTCACTGCTTTATTGTTTGCATATGCTCAAAACATATCATATCAATACTACAGAATTTAAACTTATTTATGTGTTTTGCAAGCTTAAAATTAGTTGTAAAATATTTTTAATTTGCACATACACCATAATTCGATAAACCTACTGCCCACATTTTATTAATGAAAGTACATTAATATAACGTCACTTCATTGGGTCATGTCATTGTATTATTTACTCTAGTTACATATTTAGATGAAACAGTATCTTGGAATTAAGCAGTATTCAGTGTCAATTGAAATAGCATTAAAGTTAAATGTTTTTATGTTGCTTTTAACATATAACAACCTTTTAAATATTTCCCACATATTAAAACTAAATTCATAGCTGGGAAAAGTTCATTAATAAATGCGTAAATTAATGCATATTAATACATTAATTTAAATCGAAAACATTTTACTATATTCTATATAATTTAATTATAATAATTAAATTGTAATATGTACTTATATATATCGGCAAGTATTCACATATCTAAATATTTGTCATAATAAATAGTTAAAAATATTTACAGAGCAGTCCTAGAAAAGAACACAACATAAGTGTGATGTAATCACACCTACTTAATACGTGCAATAAAAATATTATTAATAAACAATTTTATTCAGAGAATTCTTTTCTCAATCTTAAAATCGAAATGTCTTATTCTTTATAAGATCTTTTCTGCATGAGTCTTTTTTTTCAACTGTAACTTTGTCCAACATATGATTTGATTGATATGGTAGTATGGGCTGCCAGAAAATTCGTTTTAAATTTAATTTTTCAATCAGTTGCACAAGGTTTTTTAAAAAATGGAATAATGCAACTCCAATGGAGGATAAGTTTTGATATCAACAAGGCTGACGTATTTACTGTGATATGTGCAGCATTAGCACTGCGAGGCATTATTTCCCTTCAGCCTTACTCTGGAAAAGGAACACCTCCGATGTATGGTGATTATGAAGCTCAAAGACATTGGCAAGAAATAACGATAAATTTAAATCCAACGAATTGGTACACAAATTCGAGTAAAAATGATATGCAATATTGGGGCTTAGATTACCCGCCGTTGACTGCATTCCATAGTCACATATTAGGAAGAATAGCGAAACACGTCAACGAAAGTTTTGTTGAACTTAAAACATCACGTGGATTTGAGTCAAATGAACACAAAAGTTTTATGCGTCTCAGTGTTTTATGGGCAGATTTAATAATCTATATACCTGCAATATTATCACTTGGATTTGCCATAACAAATACATTAAAAGACAAATTATTTTTAGCTTGTTTTTTTGTGCTTTCTTTAAATCCAGCTCAAATTCTTATTGACAATGGACACTTCCAATATAACAATATATCACTTGGACTAACGGCTTTCGCGATATATTTTATTTTAAAAGGAAAACACTGCTTAGCTGCTTTTTGTTTTACACTCGCTTTAAATTACAAACAAATGGAACTTTATCATTCTATACCCTTTTTCGTATATTTATTAAAGGTTTCTTTTTCGCAAAACAGGTAAATTATTGTTTGTTAACATTTTATTCAAAATAATGTTTGCTTAATATATTTAAGGCCATACACATAAAGTACATAAACCATTTGGCAACTATTTAAAGCCTACACAATTTCAAAATAATAGATTGTGGTACAAAAAAAAACTTATCCCTATTAATAAATGGTATAATATTATATATATATATATATTCCACAATTGTATGTTTGTAAGTTCACCTATATAACTCAATTTTTTTTTCTGGAGAACGATATACATACATAACTTCACTACTCTGATACTATTGAATTACTCTATAAAAAACAATGCCTGACTATGATATATGAAATGGTAGTGATTTTTGTGAGCCGACCCTATTAAGATGGCAAATTATATTCATCTAGTCACGGATGGAGTTCAACATTTTCTTTCATCCTTTTTCTCATTACCACTTTACAGCGTGGTGAGAGTTATGAAGATTTTGTCATTATTTTATATGTACTTATGCGCCACGTCAGGGCCATTTGAGTTGTTACAAAACAGTAATTCAAAATAATATTTTTTCAATATTCTAAAATATTGATATATATTTCATGTTAATTTATTTAAAAAAAAATTAAATTGAGAAGAATTTAATATATTAAATAAACTTTTTGTATTTTGAATGCATGCATATATTCTCACATTTAAGGGGCATAGCATCTTTGGTTTCTATTTAATTTATTCGTTTTTTACATATTATACATGGAGAATGTACTTTTTTGTTAATTATTTACAACTGGATAAATGTGAGTTCTCTATATTCTTCTGCGTATACTGGATTCTTAACCTATAACCTGTTAGATTTATAGAATTGATTTACTAACAGATATAGGCAGGCTAATAAAAAAATTATTTTTTAAATTTGCATAAATATCATGTACACAAAAAACATTAAAACCATTATATTGTAACAAAAATATTTAAAAATTGGTATTACAAATTACTTACAGTTTTAAAAATAAAATAATAACTTTTATAAAAATTGCTGTTACCGTGTTGGCAACGTTTGTTATATTATGGCTTCCATGGATATATTCTATAAATTCAGTCTTGACTGTTTTACGAAGATTATTTCCACTTGCTCGAGGAGTTTTCGAAGACAAAGTAGCTAACTTTTGGTGCTCATTGCATACATTTTTGAAATTAAAGTAAGTTAATATTGATATGTAATATACAATTTTAAAAATATTTAAAACAGATTGAAAAAAATTTTTGATTTCAATCTTAAGGTGAAAAATTAAGCGTATTTGTTAAACATGAACTTAATTTTAAATCTCTTGTAAAAGTTTTTAATGCAGAAAATTGACAACAATTCTAATTTAAATATTGTTTCAAATTATTTTGCCTATAGTCAAATATCCGATATCAGTAGCCCTGTCTGCGTTAACAATCGCCAAGTGATAATATCCACTAAAGAGCGTTCATAATTCTATGGAACATTTTATTCGAAATTGTTTTCGAATAAAGAAGTTATTATTTTTTAATTTGCTATTAAAAACGTGTAAATTATGTCCTTATACACACAAGATCTATTAAGATCTATTGTTTTATTGAAGTGGTGAGGTTTCACACTAATCACACACTCAATTCATCTCTCTCATAATCCATACATTTGTCTTATAATCCTTTTCTATTTTCTGCTCGAAAGATCATTTTGGGTTATAACAAGCGCACAAATTTTAGAAAGAAAACGAAAACTCAAATCTATTTAACCAAAATTACTTCGTTATAACATCGTATTTTATTTCATAAAATATCAATTTCATATATAATTGTAATTCCTGTACACAAAATTTAATACCTTTAAGAACAAAAAAAAATATCGTTCCCCCTACGATTTTTCTATAAGCGATTGTTTTATAATTGTTGTGCATTTTCTACATTAAAGGCTGTAACCAAAGAGTATGTCTCATAATAATTAAAATTTCATTTAAAATGTTTTTATATTAATTTTATATATATTTTTTTAGAAACTATATTTCTAACCAGGGAATGGCTGCATTATGTTTTATTGCAACTCTTATAGCCACATTACCAGCTAATGCGATGCTTTTTGTAACCAAAACAAAAACCACATTTTTTCTTTCTTTAACAAATACAGCTTTGGCGTTTTTCTTATTTTCCTTTCAAGTAAATAATTTATTTATTTTCATAAATATTATTAATACTATAATTTGAAAATGTCTTGCAGGTTCATGAAAAATCTATATTATTGGTAACACTTCCAGCAACGTGCTTATTTACTTACAAACCACATACAGTAATTTGGTTCCTGGAAACTGCAACATTTAGCATGTTTCCGTTATTAATACGAGATGGTCTAACAATACCATATTTTGCAATATTTTTAGTATTTTTCATTCCTTTAAAACAAATATGTCTAAATGATTATATGTTACCACAAAGAGAAAACAAAAAAATTAAATTTATTTTAAATTTATCTACAGGTTATATTCTTATTATATCCCTTGCTGCTGTATTAATTTCTCCTCCACAAAAATATCCATTTATTTGGTCTTTAATAATCTCCTTTATTAGTTTTTGCCATTTTTTCATATTCTTTATTTATTGCATATTTTTACAATATAAACACACCAAAGGAGTAACGTCAATTCAAAGTAACAAACAACATTATTCGTAATATGGCTATGAAATTTTTTAGTAAATTTACAATATTTTTAAAGTCTTGTATTAAAAAAATTAAATGTAATATAAATAAATTTATATTTTTTTATACAATGCACAAACGTTTGTCTATTTAATAACGGTTTATGTAAATAATGTTTGAATTGTGATTTTATAAATATAAAAATAAATAAAACTGTAATGAGTTATAAAACTAGAATATAGAATAAAATAAAAAAATAATCTTTCTGTTATAAAAAAGAGAAATATGTGCTGGTGTATTTTTATTTTATAACGTCATTACACTCGTATTGCAGTCCATTGTTATTTTTTTTTCTATCTTTCTCTCTCTCTCTATTATAAAAATAGTAATATAAGGAAAAATTGAGAATAATAGAAAACGAAAACGTGTAGAACATTTATCAGAGAGAAAAATTCAATAAAACGTGAACAGCAACGTGATTTATGCCAATAAAAAAAATTAAACGGCAATGTTTAATGTTGGTACTGCATGAAAAAAAAAAACGTTATATTTATACGTACTCTTTCATAATTAACAATATGTAAGCGCTTTTAACAGTCTCTCGAAGAGATATAAAATTTTTTAAGAGCCTTGAAAGTAGAACAAAATTAGATGTCTCTTCTAGAGAATTTTAAAAGCACATACATATAGATTGTTAAATATGAAAGAGTACGTATGAATATAATGGGGATTGATGAGCAAAATTCGAAGGGCGTAGAGCCTCTATTTTCTAAAACAGAAAAAAACTTAGAAACCCTAATGAAAATGTAGCTTAAAATATGTTAAATTTTGAAGTTGAGTTCAAAATTTTTTGTATAATATACACAAATATCATCCAAGAGATAGCAGATCAGTAAATGCAGAACTAATCATCAATAGTCGTTGGTGAATTTAAAACAAATTTTAAACAAAAAATTTATTTATTTATATATATATATATATATGAAACACGCCATAAAGTCTGCTCCATAAGGTCTAAACGTTGCTTGCTGCCTTCGTATTTTGAATATATCAACATTTTAGAGAGGTAAAAACATGAGTAAGGTCCCTCATTTCTTCGTAGGGAAGAAAGCATGAAAGAGTTCAAATCCCCCATTTCTCCTTAGCGAAGAAAACATAAATGAAGTTGAATTCCGTCGAGAGCTTTACACTGGTATACTGGCGTTACATGTTCTTAAAGTTATCTTATGTATTGTTATTTACTTCTTCATATGTCACCGCGTAACATATTCAGGAAAGGCATACAATTAGGAGTATTGCAACAACAAATATTTTAGTTCAAAGATAATGACGGTATAGCCACTTGTTTAGCAATTTCTTTTACAGTTAAGTTTCTCATAATGTTACTTATCTTATGTGACATTTTTCACGACACACAAATTTGAGTTCAATTTACAGTGTTTTCATCCCATCGAGCTTGCAAGATTCCATCCCTTCAGGTAGGCAAAATTTGACCTAATTAAGCTTACACTCCACATCTCTAGTCTTATAATTTCTTATTCGCTCATCTTATCTTTCAATTTACATACCAACCTCTTCTAACAAAATAAATATATAATTACAATTAAATCAAATTTTTTTTTGTAACCATTAGATGGAATTTAAAAAAATTTATTAATGTCAATATAAATACATAAGACTCTGATTCAAATTGGTGTATTGCTTTTGTCTGCATCTTAAAGTAAAATTTTATGCATCATCTTCTTCATTAAATAGTACATTTTGTGCATATTGCGCAAATAACAAATTGTACGATGGAAAATTACAACATTGCATATCTGTACGTTTCCAACTCTTAACTTTTGTGTATTCCAAATCAAGATCCTTAATAGTAGCATAGGCTTCTGAAGTCTAAAAGTATAAACATATAATGCATCATGAAGTCTCAATGTTCAAAATATAATTTTTAATTAATAACCTATTGTTCAATTGTTTTTATAGATAACTACTAAAACGTATTTATTCCTTCCTGCATCATGAAAGTGTATATATTTTGTTGTATAAAATATTTCTTAAAAAATATCAATTTTATACATTATTTGCAATACTTGAAAATATGATATATAAATTAAAAAAATAAAAACAAAATTTTTTTCTTATAAGATACATTACCTTATTTGCAAAAACGGTTACAATAAACTTCGACGGCTTAAATGTCTTAATCACCCGGTTGATTAGGTCTGTATAATTACTTAGTGCTACATTGCTTTCAAAGCTCACATACGAGAAGTCTTTTTCAGGTGTAATATGAATCGTCATATATTCGCCCTAAAATATATGTAATTTTTTATATGAAAAACGTGCAATTAAAAAAGATACTTTATATATAATTATTTTATATAAAAAAAAACCGGTTGTGGCGATCTCTTTTTTAACAAATTATTTTAGTAATACTTAGTACTTATTTTTAATCAAATATTTTGAAAATTAATTTTATGATAAAAAAATGATTTTTCTTAGATTTGAAAGAAGTTTGAAAGAAGAATTTGAAAGGTCTTCATTGTGTGCATTAAGCTTTACCACTCAATGTCAACCAAACTATTTCCACCCAATTGTTCCCCAAATTTTATTTAACGAATACTGTAAATTATGTTAGTTAATTAATATTAAGTAGAAAAATAATTTTTGTAACGCTAAAAAAACGTTTTGAAGGAATCGTCGCAAATCGAGTAAGAATGTATCTAATTCTGAATGAGCTCGACGAAATGAGTTCATTAAGCACTGTTCCCGTTTGTCCAAGTTAAAATTCGTCCTTTAGTTTTTGTGCTATTCGAATAAAACTTCGCACGCATATTTTTTTAAAATGGACTAAAATCACATCACTATATACGATATAGCTGCCATATAAACTAAACAATCGGAAATGAGTTTATTCCATTTATAATAAACATATTTAAATAAAATATGACACAAAACGAACTTATATTCACATAAGAAAATATTCAAAATTTAATTCATATTGATTCAGATTTAAATATAGCTGTTATATAAACTGTGGATTTCAACACATATATGTTAAAAAAAACTTTTTTATTTTTTAATGTTAATTTTTTCTTGCCGAGAATGACGCGTCTTATGATGTAAAAAAAACTATTTAAAATTTAGAAGGGTTCGAATAAATAATGAAAATTTAATAACAAAAAGTTAAGTTAATTTATTGAGTATTGTCAAGTATTCATCATCAGTGGTCTCAGGAATTATTCGAATTTTTCAATTAGTTTATAGTCCGTTTGTAATTTGTTTAGACTGGAGTGCCAGGCTTAAAACTCGTGCCTGTGAAATTAGAAGCGATGACTAATCGTGTTTTTCCACAAATAGATCCACAAATTTTCAATGCTCAAATTCCAAATTTTTATCAATTTTTTATTTTTTAATTGACACTTACCAAAACACGTTCCATACTTTTATTCTTTTTGCAGAGACGTCTGTTATGCATATTTTTACTCGCTATATTTAACCTGCTTTTTTTGGGTGCAATTTTACAAGCAAACAAGCTATGCATACAAATTGACTAATAAACTAATTAGAAAATTCCAATATTTCCTAAGACCACTGATGAAGAGTACTTGGCAATACTCGAAACAGCGTTGTATGGTCAGTCAAATTTCAATAAACTAACTAACATTTTTGTTGTTGTTTTTTCATTTTTTATTCGAATCCTTCTGACTTTTTATCTTTTGTTCTATAAACTTTAAATTTGGAATTTAAACATAATATATAAACTGCAACCGGTTTAGTAATATCGAATTGATCGACTTAGATTTAGTTATGATCGAAAAGATTATTAAAGCTAGAGCCAAATGTTTCTAACTTCAATAGCTAACGATATAACAGAGTGAACAAACAATTTTTACTTTCAGGGCCAAACTTTTAATTTTTGAAAGAAAAGTAGTCATTGGGGGCCAGATCTAGTAAAATTCAATTAAAAAATTTTAGTTATGTTGACAACGTAAGTGGGAGTCTGTATATTCTCTTAGTGGAACAACACACTTTTACTTGCAAATATTCTCTTAGTGGAGAACAACTCTTTTTTACTTTGCAAATAACCACCAATGGGAAATATAAATTATTAACATAAAATAATTAAACAGTTAATAAACAAAAATTTCATTATTCTAATTTATAATCTAATATTACTTACATTATTTCGTATTCCATTCATTGAGTACCCGCAAGGTTCGAACAATAAATCGTCAATTAACATATCTGGAATAATTTGATCAATTTTCGAATTCTAAAAAAAATTGTATTATAATACATTAAATTAGTAACAAATTACACATTACAACACATCAGTAAAAAACCAAACCTGAAAAATACAAAAGTAAAATTGCAAATATTTATTATTTCTCATGCAAACAAGTAAAAATTTGTTAGAAAGTAGTTTCTGCAATTACATAGATTCAGAGAAGTATCTAAGAAGCGTTATTTCAGGTTAACTTATATTTATATAGTTTACAAAATACTTAAACAGATACTAACTGAAAAGGAACTATAACAGCCAATTAATTTTTATACTTACTCAGCTTTTAGCAAAAAACTTAGAAATATCTTAGACAAAATAAATTTAGATAGCTATGTGAATGCATTAAAATGCCAATATGAAACCCCTAAGTCAGAAATATACAAAGTTCAACAATCCTGCAAAGTTCAATCTCCCAACAAAGAAGAAATGCCAATTTGACATCTCGCAAAACAAAAGTATACGGTAGATTAAGGCTGTCCAAAGCACGGCACGCGGCTAATATTCGTGCGACCAAATACGCAACTTTAATTGAAGAGATGAGTGCTATTATGAGGATTAGAGCTGCGGTTTGAGTACATGAGGCTGTTTTCAATAATTGACTTATTCGCTTCACATGCTAGTTTCCTTCTTTTTATCTAGTATACTTTCATTTTCCATTTTATATTTCTGTTTTTGTCTTAACAAATATTTTATAAAAATGGAGGCATATTGGCCAATGCCTTCCTTAAAGTAATTAAAGCCATTTTTAATATTCATTTAATAGAGGAATGCTAAATCGGAAAATAATTACAGTGTTAAAGCTTTTATTAAATGTTTTTACTTGTCAGATCTTAATTGAATGAAAAACAAAATAGCTAATAACTGTTTCACATAATTAATATTGTAAAAAACACATATCTATTACATATAACGAACTCGCCAGTGAAAAGTAACTAAGAACAATTAAATCAACAGGCTCTTCAAAACAAAACTAATACTCTTGAACTAGGTAAATACGTGTCCTAAAATAATCAATCTCTAAATGTAGTAAATTTGTAGTATACTTTACCTTAAATTATTAATATAAATTATATAGTAGTAATTTTTATTTTCATTGTGTATATTAAATTTTCAAGTTCTCATTCATTTGTGAGCTATATAAAAACCGTCGAACACCCATGCAATTAAACTAAACATATTGAAAAAACTTACATGCAATAAAATACAGTAAAAATTAAATAGTAAATCTTGAAATTATTATTAAAAATAAAAATTTTAATTTTTAAAAATAAAAAATCTTACCACAGTTGCTTCAGTTGGCGTTTTAGATATCTCTTTAGTAAAAATTGACATTACTTCGGCGTCTAAGTTTTGCATTAAAATTTCAATAGTTTGGTCCGGTTCCGCTATTTCTTTTATTGGTTCTACATTATTCAATAAAGGCTTTGTAAATGTGTATAAGTACCAACATTCACTATTAATTGAACCAAGGCAGTAAGAGCGCCCATCAGCAAATATTGAATCCAAAATGGCTACTTCTTCACAAAATCCACGATGAGGGTACAGCTATAAAAAAATTAGATTTTATGATCGTTTAAATATTTGAATAAAAATTAATTTTAAAATGTTGCTTAAAAGAAAATATATTTATATTATAATTTAGTATTGAAATTTAATAATTAAAAATAAATATATAATTAATTAATTTAATAATTCTACAGCTGGTTTATAATTTCGTTGTAATAACAAAATTAACAAAACTCCAAAAAAATTTGCGAATATAAAAGTCAAGTATGTCAAGAGCGCTGACTCTGAGGTTCAAATTTGGTAAGACATGAGTTCGATTCCTGGTACGAATAATTAAGAATAATTAAATACAAGAATTATTTCCAAGATCACTGATGATGGGTATTTGGCAATACTAGAAACAGTTGTATGGTCAGCCAAAAATTCAATTAATTAAAATAATATAAAAATAAATTTTTGTTGTTGTATTTCACTACTTTTCGAAAAACCTCTTTATAATTTAGTTTGTCAAAATAATTAACATAGGAATAAGAGGATTTGATAACTATGGGGCTTAAAAATGTTACTACACTTATATCAATAAGAGCTCGCTGAATCAAATATCCTATATATAATTCACTTAACCAAAGAAAGCGTATTTTAAAAATATACAAACCACTAGGTTCAAATCAAATCAATTTTTTAAAAATTTTTCATTTATGCTATTAAATTTTCATACTTATTTTGATATGTATATACAAACAAATATAAGATATATATTTGATATATATATACCTATATAAGACAATACGTTTAAAATTATAACAATTACGAAGTTATTTAACTTCAAACATAAAGTGTGACCCTATGTAAAGCAATATAACATGCTCTTCCTATCAACGGGACTTTTTAATATATTTTTCTGTAGTAATTTTAAATATATGTACAATAATTTAAAATAAATATATAAATAAAATTAATATTATTACTCAAGGATATACCTGTTTTTCTGGTCTTGTAAAATTTTTTCTGGAATAAAATAAATCAGCGATCTCATCGTATCCATATCGATGTGCAATTTCAAGCAATCCTTTTAAGCAGTGTAATGGCGTCGTTGTTCCGCATGTTTTAAGTATCCACTTTTTTTTAAAAATAAACATACTACTTTCACTGAAAAAAAAACACAAACGTATAAGAAATGGCAAAATTTTTTTCGTATTTATCGTAAAGTAATTGGAACTTTTATTACCGTTTGGAAAGCTTATGAAACAAACTTCAAAAGTTTAATAGCAAGTAAACAAACGAACTGAAGGTTTAAATTTTATTATTTATTGAGGTGTAAAGATTTTGTTTTTAACAATTTTATAACAAATTATTATTTTTAAATAATTTTACAAATACTTAATCAGCTGTATATGCTCATTATATATATGCTTATATTAAATGTAACTAAGTATAGGGCACTTAAAATTAATCAGTTCAATTAATTGCCATATAGCCGTTTAATATCCCATTTGTTCAAATTCATTTATTTTGGAATTGTATTTAATTTATTTACTTAATACATAGGAATTGACCATGATAAGATTTAATCGTTTTTATACTGATAAGACAATAAAACTAATTATAAAAAACACTTTTTTTATAAATTAGCAGATTTCGAAAAGTATATAATAAAAAAATACAATTAATTATTAATAATTACCTTAAAACATATGCGTCAATATGATCATTTCTGCTACAACTAATTATTTCGCATTTAACTTTTTTTAATAATTCTTCCCATACTATTCTGAAATGATATATAACCAAAAAATTTTGTATCAAATGTGATCAAAAATAGTAACAAAAAAATTAGTTTTACTTTTAATTAATTGTACATACATACATATATATATATATATATCTTTTAAGATATTAAATAATGTAAATTTTTTAATTATTGGTAGCAGGTAGATAATGTTAAAATTTTAAGCCTGACTTAAAATAAAATAAGTGGCATCGAATTAATTCTTAGTCAGTAAATTATTTATTAACGAATATAACGTAACTATATTAGTTTGATCTATATAATTTTTTTTAAAATCTAGTTATAATAAAATTTTGTTAATAAATTCTTAGATTTTTTTTAAAAGTGTATGACTTGTTTCATTACAAAAAATCAATGTTATATTTATATGACATCAAAGCAAAAATATAAATAAGAAGTATGTAACATGAATGCTAAGTAATTTTATTACAAAATTTTTAGAATAAGTCAATTTTATATGCAGAAGCAGTATTAAAGATTTGCATAAGTACTACATCACATTTGTAATTTGAAAAAAAAAAATTATATACACGAAAAAAATTCTTACGAGGAAACGTCACGCAAATCGGCATCCTTGTTCGGACTGTCACAAAAAGATATTTCCAAAAGTTTTTCCACACCTTCGAAATAATGATCCTTGCACACTTCAACAACCTCGGCCATGCTGTTACCGGTACTAGCAATGTTATGTTATGTTCATCCCATCAAAACACAGCAACTCATCTGATAAAAGCCCATGTGTCAATTGTAAGTCATAAGCTTTTTTAGAAGCTTACAGTATCATTCACGTTTTATAGCACATGATATTACATCATGCTTTCATTCAAACAAATTAAATAAGAATTACTTTAAGCAAAAGTGGAACAATTTACAAAATAGTTTAAATACAAATAATAATAAGAAATTATTATACTAAAATAATTGTATAATTCTTAATTTATAATATTTTTGTTTATAAAATATATAAACGTTCAAACACAAAATCATTAGTTTTCATACAAAATTTTTTTATGTAATACTCATTAGTATTTAAAATGGTTATATATGCTTAAAATTACAAAATTAAAACATATTTATTTAGACATATATTTTCGACGGTAAATATAAATATCCCACATAAATTTTTATTTAAAAGAGTTGAAAAGTTTGAAACGTATTATAAGAACGAAAATTTACATTAAATTTCCGTCTACATAAATATACATTGGATACATCATTTTGGTACAAACATTATAATGATCTAAAAAAATAACATCACAACACAGTTTTATCTATTTTACACACAACATAACTGATATCATCCCAAGCACCTAATAAAACACTTACTGATAATAAATATTGGAGATATCTGAAATAAAGTTCATTTAATAAATATTTATTATATTTATTATAAACTACTTACCAAAACCCACCACATGAAACTTATTACAGCATAAACTATTAACATAACCAAGTGATCTGCAATTACATTGAAATAAAATTTAAAAAAAAAATATATAATTAATTAAATGAATAATACACTTACTTTATTTATTTATGAATTCATTCATTTTTTATGTTTAATAAGTTAATATGTATTAAATTAAAATTAATTAAATTAATATTTATTAAACTAAATTAAAAATTATAAAAAGAAGCACTGAATGTATTTTAAAACACATTTTACAATAACCAAAACATGGCAGCAGAATAGCGAAATAAGAAAAAAGAACTGCCAACAATATTCGCCGTAAAGAAAAATCTGAGAGAAGACGAAGTATATATGCTGGGTATCGCGCACAAGATGAAACAAAAAAAATATAGAACAGTAAAAGTAAACAAGAATTGAGTGAGATCAGCTGTAAATAAAATGATACGCTACGAAAAAGCTCGGTCGGTTGGGTATTAAAGACGCGCATTTATGTTCAGACAGTGACTTGTAAAATATTTACTAAGGTACATACACCTGGGGATTACAAGTTCAAATTTGCACTAGTTGCACATAGAAAATTTCGATATAAAGAAATAATTTATACGAAGGAATATCTTTCATGTAAAATTATTGCACTGCGATCGGCTGTAGTACGTCTACTGCAAATGAAATAATTTTTAATTAAAACACATATCAGACAGAGGCGAGGCATCGAATGGTTCAGAGTGTTCACTGAACACCTTAACAAAGCTTCCTTTTTTCATTAGGTAAATAATGTCACTATTTTGCTACTTAACATTTTTTATGATAGCTTTTCCAAACAGATTAACATAAACACAAAACGCCAATACAAACAAAATCACACATACATATGTTAGTTACACCCAACATTACTTATAATTAATAAAAGAGAAAACACATTCCTCTTAAAATATACTAAGGTTTGTGGCAGCACCAAAAAATATAAATAAAAGAACTGTCAACAAGGCACAAAGGAGACAACAATAGCCGCAGTTCCCGCCAGTAGTAGTTTGGAAAAAGACAAAGCAGCACGTGAATAAGACGTAAAAACATAAATCTTAACTTTAAGAATATTTTATAATAACTAAGTATAAGAAATAAATAAACTTATCCATTACCAATACGGAGTGTTAAATTAACTTATCCATTACCAATACGGAGTGTTAAATTCGAAATAAACCCCAACATAAAAAACCACTACATTGGTGACCAAGCCGACGTCGAATATATAAAAAAAAAATGGCTACTCAAGAGCAAAAGATAACCGAAGACACTAACCCAATCAATGAAAACGCAACAATCACTGCAATAAAGCTGCCGATGCCAACATTAATAAAAAACAACATTGACCTTTGGTTTATTCAGTTGGACTACTGGTTCCAAGTCAACAACATAAAGGGCGATACTCAAAAGTTTGGCACAGTTATCGCAGCATTGGATGGATCGCTGTTAGAACAGATTTATAACACAATACAGAATCCACCAGCAACTCAGAAGTACGAAGCTATCAAGCAAGCAATAATAAAAAACTTTGCGGATAGTGAACAAAAACGCATACAAAAATTAGTTAGTGGTTTACAGCTTGGGGATAAAAAGCCATCCCATCTTTTAAGCGAATTGCAACGTATTAGTGGAAGCAAACAAGACGAACAATTACTGAAAGGGTTATGGTTACAACGTCTTCCTGTAGAAGTACAGACATGTCTAGCCACAATTCAAGTGGAACTACCTAAGATGGCGGAATTGGCAGACAACATAACCGAAACAATCCGTATAAACTCAACAATGCAAGGAACTTACGTCAATGCAGCTAACGTCCCTGCAGCAGCTCATATTCAACGTGATGCACAAATCGAACAACTTCAACGAGAAGTGACCAGACTGACGAAAATGGTCTCGAAATTATCAACCGAACACCGCTCAAGAACAAATCAACGTTCACGTTCAACATCCAGAAACCGGCAATGTCATGATGATAGTGAAGAAAAGACCAGTACAAATTGTTGGTATCATAGAACATATGGGTCAAATGCAAAAAATTGCAAGCAGCCATGCACATATGGCACAAAAAACTAAAACCGACTTCGTCTACGGCGGCAGAGGAAGTTGTAAACGAAACATCTACAAGACTGTTCGTCTATGACAATAAGACAAAAAAATCATTCCTAATAGACACGGGTGCAGATGTTTCACTTATTGCCGCCAAACAAAAAAATTCAAATACAAACAATAAGAACGAAAGAATACTCTACGCAGCAAATGGTTCTACGATCAAAACATTTGGAGAAATAGAGATAACTCTAGCTCTTGGCTTACGAAGAAATTTCACATGGCCATTTATTATCGCAGATGTAAACACTTCAATCATCGGTGCAGATTTTTTAAATCATTTCGGATTAATAGTAGACATAAAAATGAAACGATTGATCGACACATCAACAAAGATTTTCTCAGCCGCAAGTGAACGTAAGGTAAATGCGCAAAAAATATCAACTGTGAACACATCTTGCAAAATTGCAGATCTACTAAAAGAATACATCGACATCACTAAACCAACACCGACAAATCGCCAGGTGACAAAAGTCACTCACCACATATTAACAAAAGGTCCACCAATATGTGAGAGACCACGTAGGTTACCTCCAGACAAGCTAGCAGCAGCAAAAGAAGAATTCCAAAACTTAGTCACAGCCGGAATATGCCGTCCATCAAGCAGCAATTGGGCTAGCCCCTTACATATGGTAAAAAAACCAGACGGTAGTTGGAGACCTTGCGGAGATTACCGTCGCTTAAATGCAATCACCATCCCAGATCGTTACCCAGTTCCTCACATACATGATTTTGCACACATGTTATATAACCAAAAAGTTTTTTCAACCATCGACCTGATTAAGGCATATCACCAGATACCAGTTGAACCGGGGGATATTCCAAAAACGGCGATCATAACTCCATTTGGATTATTTGAATTTACTAACATGACATTCGGACTTTGCAATGCAGGTCAAACATTTCAACGCTTCATTCACGAAGTATTACGAGATCTCGAATTCGCCTTTGCCTATATTGACGACGTCATTATTGCATCAGCAAACGAGGAAGAGCACAGGCAACACTTGCAACAAGTATTCGAACGATTCAGAAAACATGGTTTAATAATAAACGTATCAAAATGCGTTTTTGCTCAAAACACAGTAAAATTTCTTGGTTATCTCATCAGTGAAAAGGGCATTCAACCTCTACCAGATCGAGTGAAGAGCATCAGCGAGTACCCGCTTCCAACAAAAACAAAAGAATTAAGAAGATTTCTAGCATTACTTAACTTTTATCGCAGGTTCGTACCAAACGCTGTAGATTCTCAAACTGCACTTCAACAAATGATAAAAGGAAACAAGAAGAACGACAACACACCGTTATGCTGGACCGAAGTGAACAAAACAATCTTCCAAAAATGTAAAGATGAACTAACAAACTCGACACTACTTGTTCATCCGTCAAAAACTGCTACGCTTGCATTACAAGTAGACGCCTCGGATAAAGCTCTCGGCGCAGTTCTTCATCAAGTGACAGACAGCACGTTCCAACCACTCGGTTTTTTCTCTAAACGATTAACAGATACACAAAAACGATACAGCACATACGATCGTGAGTTGTTAGCCGCATATCAGGGCATAAAACATTTTCGACATATGTTAGAAGGTCGTGAATTCGTATTAATAACTGACCACAAGCCACTCACGTTCGCATTCCAGCAAAAGTCCGACAAGGCTTCACCACGTCAAGTCCGACAGCTTGATTATATAGGTCAATTTACAACGAATATCGTTCATGTCAGCGGAAAAGACAACATCCCAGCAGATTTTCTCTCGCGGATAGATAGTATTAGCATCCCAAAAATCGACTACGATTGTATAATTGGATTACAACGATGTTGCCCACAACTACAAGATATCAAAAACAACAATTCCATCGAAATCAAACTTTTATCTTTACCAACAATATCAGATAAAATTTATTGCGAAGTTTCAACTGGGCGAATTCGTCCTTACATTCCGCAGAAATACCGGCTACATATCTTTAAAGCTACGCATGGGTTGTCTCATCCCAGCATTCGGGGCACAACAAAAATGATAGCTGAAAAATTTTTCTGGCCTTCTATAAATGCTGATATCAGAAACTGGACCCGACAATGTATCCCATGCCAACGTTCTAAAGTGCAACGTCACAACCGTTCACCTATTTGTCAATATGAACTCGCTGAACACAGATTCGAACATATAAACATAGATATCGTC